GGATTAGGTGGGGAGACGGCTTCCACAGGGACTGAGGAAGATCACGGATTAGGTGGGGAGACGGCTTCAAGAGAGATCGACTAAGATCATTGATTAGATGGAGAGAGGGCCTCAATCGAGACTGATCAAGATTGTTGATTAGGTGTGACTGTGTCTCAAGAACAGAAGATGAAGGAAGGCAATTACAAAGAATCCTGAGTGGTCAAGAGATCTTTCCATGAAAAGGTGAAAAGTGGGGAGAAGGAGGGCCTCCCAAGGGATGCAGGCCTGAGGGGAGACCACCTGGCAGCTGTAGGGACGACAGAAAGGCGGGTCAGGTGACACGTGGTGAAGCTCACAGCTTGGGTGGAGACGCTGTCCATGCGTTTGTGAACAAGCAACAAAGGATGGGAACCAACCAGGCGCTCACCATTTTATAACATGCATTTCACTATCTTTTCTTACCACTATCACAAGAAATAAATTTTATTTCCTCAACTGCATCAACTAGATTTAGGGTACACCCCAAATGTCAGAGAGGAAGATGTCTAAAATCCTAAAAACAGAAACGCTGAAGAACAGATGCTCGGAAACCCAGAGCCGAGCTCCGGCAGCACAGACAAGTGCCAGGTGTGTGGCACCCCCCTTGTACTCCTGCCAGGGCCCAATGCTGGAGAGCGGGGCTCACCTTGTCCACGTGAGCATGCCAGTACTCGTCGTGAGCCGTCCGCGCTTCTGTGCTGTTGATGCGGGAGAAGAACGTGGGCTTTGTCAGGTACAGCGAGGACGCACTGATGCCAAAAGCCTGGGCGATTGCATGCTGGACCTTCTGCCGCACATCCCTGCAGAGAGGACACACACATCACCGGGAGCAGCGCGGCCTTGGAGGAGGGAATTCTCCGTGGGTCCCACAGAGCCCACACAGCACTTCGCTACAAAAAACATGACTGGAGGAGGCAGAAAGATGAACAGACGCACACACAGCATCCTACATGTGTGTGACGGGACATCACGTGCGTGACCAGTTCTTTGTAGGAATGACCACAGCACCAGGCCTGCTGGGGCAGTGTCTGTGGGGACAGACAGGAGCAGTGACGGGGGGGTGAGCAGCCCTCTGCACATGGCCCATGCATTCCCAAGCAGCACAGAGAGGCCTGGAAGAAGACTCTGGCCCTGGACTGAGGGCTACACTGTGCATGGTCAGGGGCTGGGGCAACAGCCTGACATGGCAGAGGGGTCGTGCCCCACGGAGACACCGGCCCCTCCCTGGCATGTCCAGGGTGCTGGGCTCCAAGCCACACACGTGCAGCTGTGTGGCGAGGTGCTCTAAGGCACCATTTACCACATCGGCCTCCATGGTGGGGGCCAGCCCCTCCCTGGACTGCAATTGACCAGCAGAGCCAGGCTCCATGGAGTTCCAGGGAGCCAACTCTTTCTGGGAGGCCAGAATGCAGGGGGCAGTGCTGGAAAGGTTAACTCACACCTACCAGGTGCACACATATACCTACATACTGACCTACATATGTACACACACACACACTTACACCCATATCTACCTACTATGTACATATGGACACACACCCCTAAACACACACACACACACACACACACGGGCCTACCTACATAGGTACATGCCTACACACATATGTACACACATACCTACCTATACGCCTACACACGTGTACATACATACCTACCTACATACACAATACAAACCTATATACAGCCCATACACACACACAGTACATGCCTGCATGCATAACTACACACACGTACATACCTGCCTACATACATGCAGCTTAGCTACATACACACACACACCTATGTAGATACATACATACACACATATAGATGTACCTACGTAGCTACCTATGTGCATACCTATGGAACATATAATAAACTAGGCCCCCAAACCACGTTCCACGTGATACAGCTTGAGCACAACAGTACACGAATCATTCTAACATTTCCAAACTACTGGTTGAACCTTCAACATGCATATCACTGGCTAAAGGGTGCCTCCATCTAAGCAAGGGCTCTAACGGGGGGTGCATCCAACTCTCCCAGTGACCCCCTCAAAGTTGTCTCGATAAGTGGAACATTTATCTTACCATCAATGACAATGTTCATGGACCTTCTGCTGAACCAACAATTACATTCAAAGTGTCTCTACCCCTTCAGTAGGCTATGAGATATACACGTTTTCAATATCTCTTATCAACCAGCTCATTAAGATTTTTTATGGGAATGTCATTTATTTAGTTGGCTTAATTTTCTTAATCTTTGTTCACTTTCAGGCCTGGAAGCTTTGCAAAGAGCAATTAGCCAAGTTTTGGAGTTCAACAAAGAACTCCGAACTGAAAGAACTAAAAAGCTCAATATTCTTCCCTTTTGTCATCAAACAACAAACTCGTTTTCTGTACGATGCATTGATAATCTAATAGATTCCTCTTGGAAACAATACTTAGTTTTGCTCCAAATAGCAGACCACCTTTCTCAGTTTCTATGTGATTTTCTGCTTTTCTTTCCTGGTCTCTTCCCTTTACTTCCACAGGGTCGGTCACCCTCACAACTTGTCAAATCGACACCAACTTAACATTTCCATCTGGGAAGTCAGAGAGAGAGAGCTCCACCTTTACGGGATATGCCTGCCTCCCGTTCTCAGTTTCTGTTACAAGATGGCTCCTGCAGGTCCAGTGCACCAGGCTGCCCACAAGGAGGCTCTGCCAGTTTTCACGATCTCGGCTTCTGCTCATCAGACTGCACATTCTCCCCAGTGTTCAGCTGACAAATAGCAACGGAGAAACGACTGGAAGCAATTTGGTGGTTTCACTCTCTGCGCCATCCAGAAAAAGCCAGAAACAGTGACTTAGAGTTAAATGAAGCTATCCGGAAACAGTTGAGTGTTGGTGGTACACTGACCAACTCCACAACAACCCAAGGCTGTTTTCAGGGAATATATCACACTGAAACGTTTGCCTTGAACATTAACCTTAAAGCTGATCTCAGATGCAGTTCCTTCCAGCTCCACGAGATCAACAAAGCGGCGCATTTTGCATTTTGTGTGAATTATCAGAATCCTCTCACAGGAGACAGGCACAGCTCCTCTGACGACTGAGATGTCACTACCTTAAGAGTTTCCCCCAAAACTCTGCTCTCTTGTTTCAACAAATATGTTTTCTGACAATCTAGACCATAAATGAGATCACACTGATATCTCATGTTGGTAATATTCTTGTCTCAAAATGTCTCATGTCTCAAACTGCTCAATTATTTTTAACTATAGAATAGATGAGGGGCCAGTCCAGTGGCATAGCAGTTAAGTTCACATGCTCTGCTTCAGTGGCCAGGGTTTTGCCGGTTCGCATCCTGGGCGTGGACCTACTCACTGCTCATCAAGCCATGCTGAGGCGGCATCCCACATAGAAGAGCTACAACTCTACAACTATGATACACAACTATGTTCTGGGACTTCGGGGAGAAAAAAAGAAAAAAAGAGGAAGACTGGCAACAGATGCTAGTGCAAGGACAATCCTCCTCACAAAAAAAAAAAGAATAGGTGATGTTAAAAAAGATCCTAGGTGCCGGCCCCATGGCATAGCGGTTAAGCGCACGTCCTCCGCTACTGGCGGCCCAGGTTTGGATCCCAGGCGTGCAGTGAGGCACCGCTTGTCAGGCCATGCTGTGCAGCGTCCCATATAAAAGTGGAGGAAGACGGGCACAGATATTAGCCCAGGGCCAGTCTTCCTCAGCAAAAAGAGGATTGGCATGGATATTAGCTCAGGGCTGATCTTCCTCACAAAAAAAAAGAAAAAAAGACCCCAGTGGTCCTCTCTAAACACTGCCATCTACTTTACAAACACTCTTTGATAATATAATTAAATAGTTTTAATTATTTTATTTATTTAATTTTAATTATTTTAATTGGTTAATTATTATTATTAATTATCATTTAATTATTTTAATAATTATGTTTTATTGTGTGAAACTGATTGGTGATGTTCCTTCCATTTTTCTTCTTTGATTATTACAAATCTTCTTTATTGAATCTGAAACTTTATCAGGACGTCCTGATGGAGTCTGTCACGACAGGTGTCCTGATGGGGTCTGTGTTTAGCACTTCCACCCTTCACTTGTCTCTTGAGCACCGTCTGTACCCAGCACTCACGTAAGCTGGCAACAGTACTCATGCTTCTTGTTGCAACGGTCAACTTGGTTTTTGCTCCAGAAACACAAACTCTGTTTCACTTGCGCCACCTCGTGCTGAAGGCATCCCAGGTTCTGTGCGAGACCACCAGACAGTCCAGGTTGTGGTTAGATCGACATCCCTTCCTCTCTGCAGGTTCAGAAGATCCATGTTTATGATACTCAAACAAAACACAAAATCCACTGTTTTCCTTTGTTCTGAGTGTTCATTTTTATATTTCATAAAGGCTTGAAACCATAAATATCAAAATACTGCTGCATGCTTTCTACTGAACAGTAACCACAGTGAACAAAATCAACCAATGAGGCCAGCAGCACTGGTCACGGGGGTGATCATAGACTGGGCCTCTAAACCACCCGGTGCTTCGCTCCAGGAGTCGCAAGGACAGGGTCAGACATCACTGCCTCACGACACCCTACTCTCCCACAATGTCTGACCTCAGCCATTTCTTTCCTCCTCACCGGTATAACTGGAAGTCCTCTTCTGAGAAGATATTTTGTATTTTATCCCCAAAGTATCTGTGAAAAAATAAAGAGTATTAACAAATGTAACATTTTATTGATTTTTTCCTTTAAATTCAGTCTTTCCTCCAGCTAACCAGCAAGTCTCTGAGAATCAGCTTGTCCTTATCTTAGAGTCGCGCTGTTTCTACAACGATGATGTGAGGGAGGGAGGTTGACTGAAGGTGAGACCTGAAACTATAAAACTCCTGGAAGAAAATATAGGCAGTACACTATTCATCATCGGACACAAAGGGATCTTCTTGAATTCCATGTCTACTTGGCCAAGGGAAACAAAAGAAAAAATAAACAAGTGGGACTTCATCAGACTAAAGAGCTTCTGCAAGGCAAATGAAACCAGGATCAAAATGAATAGACAACCCACCAGCTGGGAAAAAATATTTGCAAACCATATATCCGATAAGGGATTAATCTCTGTAACATATAAAAACTCACACAACTCAACAACATAAAAACAAACAACCTGACCAAAAAATAGGCAGAGGAAATGAACAGACACTTCTCCAAGGAAGATATACAGATGGCCAATAGACACATGAAAAGATGTTCAACCTCACTAATCATCAGGGAAATGCAAATCAAAACCACACTAAGATATCATCTTACAACCGTTAGAATGGCTATAATCACCAAGACAAAAAACAACAAATGCTGGAGAGGCTGTGGAGAAATGGGAACCCTAATTCACTGCTGGTGGGAATGCAAACTGGTGTAGCCTTTATGGAAAACAGTATGCAGATTCCTCAAACAATTAAAAATTTTATCATCCAGCTATCCCACTACTGGGTATCTACCCAACGAACCTGAAATCAACAATCCAAAGAGGCTTATGCACCCCTATGTTCATCGCAGCATTATTCACTATAGTCAAGACGTGGAAGCAACCCAAGCGTCCATCAACAGATGAATGGATCAAGAAGATGTGGTATATATATACAATGGAATACTACTCAGCCATAAAAAAAGACAAAATCGTTCCATTTACAACAACGTGGATGGACCTGGAGGGTACTACATTAAGTGAAATAAGCCAGAAAGAGAAAGACAAACACCACACGATTTCACTCATAAGTGGAAGATAAACCAACACACGGACAGAGAGAACTGTTTGGTGGTTACCAGGGGAAGGGAGGTGGAGGGTGGGCACAAGGGGTGAAGGGGTGCATTTATATGGTGACCGACAAACAATAACGTACAACTAAACTTTCACAATAAAGGAAAAAAAAAAGCAGGAGGGAGGTCGATACCTGCCAGAGGGAGGTAACACTTCTCAAGGTTGGGAGAACCTCTGCTTCTCTTGGTCCTCAGAGAGGATCAGATTCTTTAGGCTCACACAGGCATGTCTGGCCTGCCTGAAACTCTCAGGAGCCTGGCCTGCCTCTCGCCTTTTCCATCTCTTCCTCTGACCCTGTCCCTCAGCCCTGGGCAGGTCCTAGTTTCCCAGGAAGCCCTCGATGCAGGACCAGACTGTTCCCTAAAGCTTGGTGAACAAGGATCCTGCCCCTCACACAGGCCCCAAGAGAAGGGCCACACCTCTGGTCCTCACCTGACCCATGTCCTTGACAGCAAATGTTGCAGTTTACCCAAGACTTGAAGCCGCTCGGACCCAACACACACTAGCCTCACTCAGGCAACCCAGCTAAGAAATGCACAGAGATGTGAGGTCAGGCCTCACAGTTAGGGTCGCAGCCCCTTGGGCTCTCACCTGTACAGGTTCACAAAGTGCCTCCCGACAGACAGGGCCCCCGAGTGCAAGTCCAAGATGGACGCCTGGAAGAGACATTTGCGGAGCAAAGGGTGAGGGCTGCGACAGCAGTGACACGGGCTTTAAGGGCGATGAAGTTAAACACGAGTTACTGAGATAGGTCCCACGCACACCCTGGATCAGGGAGATGACACGCACAAGCTGGGTTTCAAGAAAGTTGGACCCAGGTGTGTATAGGATGATCTCTTTCTCTGCTGCCTAAAGAGCAAAGACCAAACCCTTTAGTCTAACGTTCTGAAAACAGTCCACAGATAGAGCTCCCCTGGACATATCTGCAAACCGTTGGCAGCTGAAGCATGTCCTTCTCTCCCTCTCTCTTCCCTTCCTTCAGCCTTGTTGAGGTATAACCAACACACAATGATCTGCTCGTGTTTAAAGTGTACAACCTGATGAGTTCTGTCAGTGTACACCCGCGAAACACCATCTCCATCAAGATGATAAACACCCTTCGCCCCAAATTTCCTGGCCCCACTTCCTCCCTCCTCTCTCTACTCGCCCCTCCCATCTCCAGGCAACCACTGATGTGCTTTCTGCCCTAAAAGATTGATTGACATTTTCTAGAGTTCTAGGTAAACGGAATCATGGGGAGTGTACTCTTTTTTGGCCTGGTTCTTGCTCAGCATAACGACTTTGCAATGCATTCATGTTGCTGCAGGTACTGAGCGTCCATTCTATCTTCTTGCTGAGGAGCAATCTTTTGGTTTGGGTGTGCCACCACTTGTTGGTCCAGCCACCTGTGATGGACATGTGGGCTGTTCCCAGTTTGGGGCTCTTACAAATAAGGCTGCTGTGGACACTGGTGGACAAGTCTGCGTGGACAGACGCTTCATTCTCTTGGGTGAATGCCTAGGAGTGGACTTGCTGGGTCATAACTTTTCAATGAACTGCAAAGCGTTTTCCACCCCCGACTCCCCACCTCTGGGGGTCCTTCCCCAGCTCCTGGGAGCTTCTGTCTTTCCTCACTGATGTAGAGACCAGCACAGGAGTTTGTTTAACATAATCTGGGCTTAAAAAATGTTAACTGAACTTAAAGGCAACAAACCTGGTTAATTCACTGCAAGACAATTTCCTGAGTGAATGCTGAGCAAAGAGGAGAAGATGAGTCCATCCACGCACAAACAGGTTTTTAATAGATATTCCCCCTGTGGGGGCTGGCCCGGTGGCATAGTGGTTAAGTTTGTGCACTCCGCTTCAGCGGACTGGCGTTTGCACGTTCGAATCCCGGGTGTGGACCAACGCACCACTCATCAGTCATGCTGCGGCAGCGTCCCACATACAAAATAGAGGAAAATGGGCACAGAAGTTACCCCAGGGCCAATCTCCCTCAGCAAAAAGAGGAAGACTGGCAACAGATGTTAGCTCAGGGGCAATCTTCCTCACCAAAAAAAAAAAAAAAAGATATTCCCCCTGAACTGAACCAAACTGAAATAAAAGGAGGAGCTTAATTTCCAGAACTTAAGAGAAAAGAGTTTTCAAAATAAAATAAAGTACATTAACCATAGAAATACTTAGAAATTCTAGCAGAGTCTGTAAACTAATCTTCCCAGGGGTTCCACACGTGTAGACGGACTTGGGTCTGTGTGGTGACTATAATTCAGCGATCACCAAACTACACAGAGAGAATGCATCTTCCCACAGTTCCACACACTGGGATCCATGTTCAGGAAACCACATGAGACTTCAAGCTCACATCAGGTGCTCTGGGGATGGGACAGCCAGAGGCTGCGGAGGAAGTGGACGAGACACAGGGCCGCACTGGCCCTGTTTTAGCTCACTGCAGCTGCCGTAACTAATGGCCACAAACAACAGGCTTGAAACAACAGGAATTTATCCTTTCACAGCTCTGGAGGCCAGAAGTCCAAGACCTAGATGTCGGCAGGGCCACGCTTCCTCCACAGGCTCCAGGGGAGACTCCTTCCTTGAATCTTCTGGCTTCTGGTGGCTCCAGATGTCCCTTGGTTGGTGGCCACATCTCTGCCTCCATCTTCACGTGGCTTCTCCTCTCCTCTCCGTGTTTTCTCCTCTTTTGTCTGTCTCAAATCTCCCTCTGCCCTCCTCTTACAAGGACCCTTGTCACTAGGTTTAGGGTCCACCCTGATAATCCAAGATGATCTCATCTCAAGATCCTTAACTTAATGACACTTGCAAAGATCTTTTTCCCAAGTAAGGTCCCACTCACAGGTTCTGGGTAGACGCATCTTTCACGGGCCACCACTGGACCCCTGCAGGCTCACAGAGTGGACGACAGTGCCCACCCCGGGTCTGTGGGGACCTCCAGCTGGGAGGATGAGGAGCCCCACCCAGCAGGTTTCTGGCAGCCCCACCCACTGCCACTGGTCCTCCCATTGCCAAGGATTGTCATCCTCCTCATTTCGCTCCTAACTTACCCTCCTCAGCTCCTGGCCTTTGACCTTTGACCTCCTCCACCTGCCCCCAGCCCAGTTGTCTGAAATGCAAATGAGATCTGAAGCAGGCCTGCTGGAAACACCACGAAGAGAGGGAACACTCTCCTTCCCACCAAATGGGGTTGCTGCGGTCAGTGTTGGGGAGGACACAGGGCATGTCCATGCCAGGGGTGGGGGCACCCAAGGGCCCTGCACATCTGCTGCCTTCTCCTTCTCCTCGGGGGGGCAAGCAAAGTCAAAGGGGAAAAGAAAACTGAAGCAGCATCGCATATGACTCACCCCTCCATCCGATCCTCCCAGCGACAGCCCCTTCTCTGCTACGCTGCGGGAAGATCATTGGAAGTCAGAACTTAGTAGAGTTATCTATGCTCTGTCTAGGCAAATATCAATCAGCACAATTAATACAATGTTAACAGATTACTTAATGTTTACGATATAAATACAGGACTCAACTTTCGAAGCTAAGTGAGTAAATGCCAATATTTCATCACCGTCTTGCTAACATGACAGTTTAGGAACAACTGGGCTTAATTTCCATCTTCAGTATCGAGACCTAGTGCCAAGGCTGAACTACACCCAGTGGGTCCCTTTGGGCTGATGGGCCCCTTTCCTGCTCATCACAGGCAGAGGGGGGCATCCTTTGGAATCACCAGCTCAGGAGGTAGAGGCCCCATGGTGGCCTGTGCCGGACCTGGTAGGACTGCTCGGGTCACTGAAGACGCAAGAGCTTCTAGCACCTTTAACAGACATTTCGAGGCCACCCAGGAAACTGACCAGGGATGGAGCAATCCTTAACACCAGTGATCCCCACCCAGGGAGCCCCTACAATGTCCTCTAGAGAGAGGAGGAGCATCTCCGCCTGGGGACCCTCAGCTCGGCTCGTGGGCAGAGGTAGACGGCAGCTTGAGGGCAGACGTTTCTCCACTTGGCATATGCTCCTAAACACATTTTGTGTCTGAACAACTCGTCGGAAAGTCAAAGCTTCTAGGATCTTGTTTTTAAAATCTCAACGAGGAAAAATCCAGTGCCAACTGCTTCCAAGTGGGACTTCCTGCTCTGCCATGAGTCACGCTAGTCGGCTGAAGGGCTGAGCCCAACCAATTTGGACAAGAGACAGAGATGTTATCTAGGGACCTCTGCTGCTGTGGAGCGGACACACTGTCTCCACACAGGTGCCTGTTGGGACTCCCCCAACAGCCAAGGGGGTGGCATGTCCCCAACCTCCTGTAGGGATCAGAACAGCTTCCCCTGAAGAGAGCCTGGGCCTTCAGAAGGTTCCATCGGCAACCACATCACTGGGGGCAACAGCCTTTCCTCTCGGAAATTGGAAAAGCCTACCTTTGCCCTTGGAAGCACACCAGGAAATTCTTACAGAATTCTAAATGAATTCCTTTACAACATCTTTTTAGTAGTAATTCTCTGCTTCCCGCTCCCCAGCCACCCTTTCCCACTTGCTTGAGACAGAAGCTCAGAGACGCATCCTACCTGCGAATCCGCTGGGCTTCGTCCCTGGTGATGACAGCGTCAGTGACGCCCCGGCCACACTTCCTAGGGGAGCAGCCTGGAGAGAGACAAACCAGGATGAGACACTGACCCCACGCTGAATCCTGACAACAAGGCATTTGTTGAAGACTTACCTGTGGGCGGCCCTCCCCAGGGACAACAGAATTTTGTGGGGTAAGGCCTTGCCTCCCACAGGATTAGGGGGGCCACATTTGGCAAATAAAATCTAGGACACTCTTGGGGTCAGCCCGGTGGCGTAGCAGTTAAGTTCACGCATTCCACTTCGGCGGCCCGGGGTCCACTGGTGCGGATCCTGGGCGCGGACCTACTCACCGCTCAAGCCATGCTGTGGTGGCATCCCACATAGAAGAGCTACAACTCTACAACTATGACACACAACTACGTACTGGGGCTTTGGGGAGAAAGAAAATAAAAAAGAGGAAGATTGGCAACAGATGTTAGTGCAGGGCCAATGTTCCTCAAAAAAAAAAAAAAAAAAATCTAGGACACCCGGTTAGATGTGAATTTCAGACAAGCAACTGTGACTTTTCAGTCTAAGTGCATCCCATGCAGGACATGTCAACATCTCACTGGGTGTGCCTTGTTTCTGGCGGCCTGCACCACGCAGGTCACTTGGGAAGCACCTGGCACTACACCCACCCCTGGGAAGACAGCCCGAGAGCCACCCTCGAGGTGGCATTCATGACATTGCAGAACCATCATTGACCACAGATCCAGCATTCCTAAGCACCCATCAGAAAGTCCCTCCTGGATGACCAAAGCTGTGCTCATAATTCCAGTCACTGTCCTTCCCCAGGGCCCACCAAATGCTGCCACCAAAGATGCTCAGCACGGTCTCCACCCTGCACTCCCTCTGTCTCTCTACACCCGGGACCTGCAGCTGCTGAGAGCAAGCGTGGAGAAGCTCGCATGCTGACAGGGCCAGAGTCAGGGTCGACGGGGCCAGGGTCAGATTGCTGGGGCCAGGGTCAGGCTGGCTGCGCCAAGACGAGGCAGAGCATCAGAGACGGGGGAGCTCAGCAAGTTCCCCGTGTTTCGGCATGAAGGGCAGGCCGGCTCCCTGCACTAGGTAGGTCAGCTGCCTGGCAGGAGGTGGGCCATGAGACACGTCCTGGCAGATGTGGTGGAACCTTGGGACACTCAGGACGCGCTGGGCTGGCTAACCTTTAGTTTTTCATCCTTCTTCCCCTCTTCCTGCCTGGAACAAGAGCCCTGTGCCTGGAGGTGGAGCAAGCGTCCTGGGGCCACACGAGCCACGCGCTGAGTGGTCGGCTCAGGGGTTCAGGCCCGGGAGGCTCACAGGGTGCCAGGCTGGCCTGGGGTGCCTTTCTCTGGGCCTGGTCATGTGGGAAAAATAAAGTTCTACTTGGGGGTCAATGGGGGACGGGTGCCTCAGTTCCATGGAGCCAAATACAGTCCTACTGATACAGGTGTTTTTATTAAAAAAGAAAAAGCCAGACATACGCTTTTTATAAGGATTACTCCTTGAACATAATGATACAGATGGGTCAAAAGTAAAGGCGAATTAAGATAACGGAAAGGAGGCTTGGGGAGCGACGTGTGCATCAAACAAATGCGCTTTAAGACAAAAGAATCATCAGAGGGAAAACGAGGGGCAGCCAGTGATAAGAGGAATAATTCACCAGGAAGGCTAGGCTCATACAGCCCCAAACAACGTCATCTCAGACATATGGCAGTCTACGCAGAAAGACCCAGCCAGGAGAAGCTGCCAGATCCACGGTCTTGGTGGAGCTTCCAACACGCCTCTCCTGGTCTATTGACGGATGAAAAGGACAGAGATCCATGAGGACATGGAGAGTTTGCACACATGAGCTTGGATCAGGTGAAATATACAGACCATTAGAAAACACATTTTTCCAGGTACACATGGAACATTAACAAAAACATACTAGGCCAACAAGAAAGTTGGAACCAATATCAAAGGATCTATATCATACAGATTACATTATATAGCTACAATGCATTCAGGTTAGAAATCAATTTTAAGAAAGAGAAAACCAAAAACCCATGAATTTTGAAATTTTAACATCCAGCAGCTACACAGCACGTTCAAGGTGAATAAGCATCCAGAGCATAATTTGGGTGAAAAAGTTAAACCATGTCAGCGCACATACATAGGTGTACACGCGTGTAGCAACACATACCGCCCACACACGCCTGGGGTGGCCAAGCCTCCCAGTCTCACCAAGAGGCCCCTGCTGGAACTAGAAGCCCCTCCAGTGTGAACAGCCCTTCCTTGCTTATCCCCCCTATGGGGAGGAGAAGGGGCGAGGAAGAGGGAGTCCAGAGGCTTTAAAATACACTCCAGCTACTTTTTTGTACTGTGGTAAATACACATAATACAAAATTTACTGTTTTAATCATTTTTAAGTGTACAGTTCAGGGGCATTAACTACATTCACACTGCTGTGCAAACATCACCACCACCCATCTCCAGAACTTCTTCATCTTCCTAAACTGAAACCCCATATCCATTAAACACTAACTCCCCATTTCCCCCTCCTCCTCATTCCAGCTGTTTTTAATGTTGATAAAATGTTGTTTTAATGTTATTAAATAGGTAAGAAGAAAAACTTCAGTCCTAACCACTGAAAAATATTTTCTTGAAAGCTGGGACATTAGAGGGAAAAAGTCAAGTAAGACAGAGAGAGTATCCACACAACAGAATGTGTTCTTTTTCCTGACCACTGACAGGGGAAACGACATCCCTATTCCTATGAACCTGCCAAGCTAACTACACTTTTCCTCTCACCGTTAAACCCACTGGTGTGCATCACACCGGCACCCTTTGGTGGAAGGACTTGGCAATCTTTTCTTGGTTCAAGTCCAAAGCATTGCTTTGAATTAAAAAAAATAAACTGAATTCTGTCTTTGAAACCTAGTCACTCAGGCTAGGTTTTTAAAACTGAGAAAACATCCAGGCAGCAGGGAACGTGCAGGAAAATACGTAGTCAGAGAAGGCCCGAGGGCTGCAGGGTCTCCTGTGGCCTAGCCCGTCACCCAGCCGGAGCGGTACACACTCTCCAGGGTGCTGAACTCCACTGGTCCTGACACGGGCTCCGCCTCTGGCCTCCTCTGGGCACAATCCCCAAGCCTCTAACCCGGCTGCTGACCACTCCCTCCTCATGCCCACATCAGGTGGGTGCCAGGGACACAAGTGTGGGGAGGGCCTCTGGTAGTGACGGTCCTTGTTGCAACATTTTCTGCAGCGACTACGCTCTATGACACTCTCTACAGCCAACGCCTTTTCTGGTTTCAACGTTCTCATCCCTACTTTTCCAGTTGTGTTACATCCCTCCAGGCAAACCGTCTCCTCCATCAGACAGCACCCACAGTGTGGGGCACCTGAGTGAAAAGCTGGCCACGGCCTGCGCAGTGACCTGTGGGCCTGGCCATGTGCAGGACCTGAAACATCTGCACTTTCCGGCCCAAGTGTGGGCTAACTAACCTGGAGGAGGGGAAAGGTCATCTGCTCCCTCCACCCCACACACACACCACTTTCAACCTGACTCCCACTAACTCATCATAGCAAAAGACAGATGCATTTTGAACGCGCGGCATTGCACGCTAAGGCGCTGCCCTTTCCTGGATCACCATGGCACCACATACCTTCGAACCTTCGGTGACTGTCATAGTCCTCGGAGCAGGGCACCTCGATGAACCTGCCCAGCAGCACCTCGCCACGGTGAGCCAGGACCTCAGTGACACCATCATCACCCCCTAGACTGCACCAGAGCAAGAGTGCAGCGAGGGCAGCGCAGGCCCCCAGGACAGCAGCTCTCAGCCACTTCCTCCACATCTCCCTCGGTGCCCGGACACTCTTCGTACTGAGAACAGAAAACAAGCGCGGTCACCCAAACGCACCTGCGTGTGCTGAAAAGTCAGACCACAACGACCAGAGACCACACCCACAGTTAGTTACAGCTAGCCTTAAACTGTTCCTACAGTAACCATTGTAGAGCTACTCTCAATCAATCCAGGGGCACTCACCAGCCTGGGAGGATGTCATGGGGAATGCGGCCCCCACCCCATCTGACCAGGCAGGGCTCACCGTGCCCCTCAGGCAATAAGGTAAGCTGCCAGTTGGTGTCCCTCACAGCACAATCAGACCATGTTGGGTGGATACATGATCATTTTAAATAGGGACCACAGATGCCCTGTGGGGCCTGCCTAGCTCACAAAGATCCCCACACCTAGAATTGCTGCCCAGTCTCCAGCCCACCTGTCCTCCTCTGATTAGACCGGGGTGGACCCCTGACTTGAGTGGGCTCTTCATTTCTCTTCCCCAAGAATTCTGAATTGGGCAGGGACACTGCCAGCCCACGTCAGCAGCAGCCGGCTGGAACCCTAACCTGCAGGTGCAGAGCTGTGGGCAATGCATTCTCCTGGGACAGCCTGGCTGCTGAGACAGAAAGGGATGGAGGGGGAGGCGCAGAGAGACAAGAGATGAAGAAACAGCCTCCTGTGCCGGATCCAGATGCAACACTCCCTTCGGGGTCTCCTCAAAATAAGCACTCTTGTTCAGGGTAAGCTGGCTCAAGCTGCACCCTGAGAATCTTGCCAAAACAGAAGGGGGCTGCTTTCTAGCCCTGGTGCAAGGTCCACAGCTCATGGAGCAAGCACCACAACCCGACGATTTGTCCTCGGGAGATTTAAATATACTCTGGCTCTGAAAGCCTTAGGCAGACTCCCCTTGAAGGCTACGTGATGAGATGGCCACTTATTCACTCATCGGGCCATCCAACTGTGAGCCCTCATGTGCACAGCCCTAAGGAAAGCACACAGGGACGAGCAGATGGGGGCTCGGAGCCCATCCCTGTGCGGGAGGCCGGTGCGGAGCCCTCAGTACTGTGGGAGATCAAGATTTGGCCACCCTGAAATATATCTCTTTACCTTGATTGTTTTCTCTGAGGAACATTTGACCTCCCCCACTAACTGCCTAAAGAATTTGACATGGTAGCTCCTTCCTGGAACAGATCTTCTATCATGATGGCTATAAAGATAATGTAGGATAGAGGTTACAATAGCAAAGGCACCAAGCCTCTTTTATCAAAAAACTCTGTCTCTCCCTGACCACATTATCTATAGATGACCCCAAAAAGAATTGTCCTCGTGCCCTCTGAAGTCCCAGGCCACTACCCACCCCCAACACGCTCCTCGCCTTTAGCTGCAATACTTAAGCAAGCAGCTTAGACAGAGGGACGAGTTGCTCATTTCTGAGTTTCTCCCATGTATACATGTTATTAAACTTGGTATTATTTTCTCCTGCTAACCTGTCTTGTTAATTATTTGGCCAGCCATAAGAACCTTAAGGAAAAGGGCAGAGGGAGATTCTCCCTCTTCCCCCGACAGTACCCATGGGGGCGAGGGTCGTGGAGGGTTTCGCCACCGGGAGTTCTGGGCCATCTGTTCCAAGCCAGGCTGGGCAGCGCGTGCTTCCTACTCCTGGCCCGACCGCTTGGACGGAGGACGCCCGCGTGGCGGGATGCTGCAGACCACGCCCTCCTAGCGACCACGCCCCTATGCAACCCACTCACCCAAGCACAGGCCACGCCCCTCTTACCCAGACCACGCCCACCTCCACAAATCCGGCCCTCCAGCCAGGTCCCGCCCATGCCGCGGCCCATGCCCTCTCCGCGCGGCCCAGTACCTGTTCCGGCGCCGGCGCTGGGCAGCCCCGCTGCCCTCGGGCGCCTTGGGCGCGCCCCTCCGCTGAGGCGCCATCGGCCAGGCCGCCGTGCAGCCGGGCCGAACGAGGGAGCCGCGCCGAGCCCAGGACGAACGCGGCGAGAGGAAGCCCGAGGCCGACGCGGCCGGGAACAGAGCGACGCGCTCGGCCGTCGACCCCAGGGGTGGCGGCCAGGCCCGAGCAATCGGAGGCCGAGCGCCGAGCGGGCGGAGCGGGGCGGACCCGCAGCGCACCCCGCCGGACCGGAATTCCCGCACCCTCCTTGGAGCCCGCCGCGCCGCGGAGCCGTCAGGCCGAAGTGCGTCCTCGCCCGCCGTGCACGCGCTCCCGGGGTCTCCCGTCCTCTTCTCGGGGTCTCCCTTCCTCCTCCCGGGGTCTCCACGTCCTCCTCTTGGGGTCTCCCGTCCTCCTCCCGGCGTCTCCCGTCCTCCTTCCAGGGTCCAAATCCTCCCTAGGTCTCCAAGCCCCTCTCTGGCGGGTGTTCGTGCTCCTCTTTCCAGGGCTCCGAGCCACACTAAGGACGCTGGTACCAGTTGGCGCTCAGTACACGTGTACCTTCCGAAGGCCCCGCTGCTCTCTTTACCGCTTCCAATATCCCTACAGAACCTTCCACTTAGTGGGTATGAAGTAGTATCTTAACCCTATCAAGATACCTAAGATTTTGAATAAGCAGAGTTAACAATGAAGTTCATTCATGAGGACTATGTCTGAAGAGGGTGTGGAATTTACTGATACAGGGGAAAAAGAAAACTTTAGGTTCATTGGACCATAAAAAAGATCTGCCCAACAATCCTGAAACTGGGAAAATAAATGCTGATCAGACGCGATTCAGGGGCTCTTGGTAACTTACCTAGAAGCCCCGAGGAATCAGCGACAGCTGAACATCTACCGTTAGTCTGATAAATAGTGACAGTTGACCCAAGTCTTTGAAATAATCTCATTTCTAAGACCTCATTCTGGAGGGAATCAAAGCAATTAGCACACTCATTAGGAGATAGAATGCTGACTTCTCTTTTGTTCTTTTCCTGTAGATTTGGCAGAAACTTAACGTTGGTAAACAACTCTGAGTGTGTCTGTTGCAGGTAAGATGTCTGTTCATTCTCACCCCGCTGTTAGGGGAATAATAGGAGGATTTCTCTCTGAATAGGAGGAGGTATACACATGACCAAATGCAGATCTCTCAGCTTGCAATTTTTCTTTTAAATCTACTCCCTGGAGAATAGATTTGGGTTGTAAGATTTTAAACAATTCAGCTTTAAAAGCATTGCAGTTTTTCAGAATGCTTTTTCATAAAACTCATCTACCCCTCAGCTGGTACTTTTAGGTATTGCCTTAAAATTTTTGTCGTTGAGATTGTCTCAAATATAATTTTTTTTTTTAAATAAACTGATTAGTTTCTGTGTGCATCTGTTTTATCTCTTCTGCTGTGTTCTAGATCCCTTAAGATCAAGAGTTATGACTCCTTGCCTGGAATGAGCAGTCTGCGTTATAGAGCTGAGTATACCACCCGCAGACGTGGTTCTCTTTCCTTTTCCCATGTAGTCCTTTATGTTTTTATAATAGGAAAAAAAAAAGGTTTCACTATCTCCCAGCTGCTTCATTATCATCCAGACATTTCCTTTAGTCTAATAGGAACTAGTCAGCCTGACATACTTGTGGCTCATTCGTTTTTCAAATTATCAATGGTCTGTTTTAAATCCTAGACAGTTTTCTCTGACCTAGAGCAGAGTTTTGCAGTTTCTTCTTCCACACAACCAAGCTGACTTGAGCTCTAGAAATGTAAATTATTTTTAATGCTCTCCAAAGTAAAATAAAATTGAGGATAGTTTTCTACAGAAACATCATATCATGGGGCCTGAAAAATGTTTAGCAATATCTGCTGTTTCACTGGCACAGTATGTATAGTTTCAGAGGATCTTTAAAACAGGGAATTATTAGGGGCTGGCCTGGTGGCCTAGTGGTTAAATTCATGTGCTCTGCTTCGGCGACCCAGGGTTTGCGAGTTCAGACCCCAGGCGCGGACCTGACGCACCGCTCATCAAGCCATGCTGCGGTGGCATCCCACATACAAAAAATAGAGGAGGATGGGCATGGATGTTAGCTTGGGGCCAATCTTCCTCAGAAAAAAAAGGGGAGATTGGCAACAGACGTTAGCTCAGGGCCAATCTTCTTCAACAACAACAAAAAAAAACCAGGAAATTAGTTAGCAATCATTCTTGTTATTATAGATCACAGCCATCTTATAAGGAAACCAATGGTATTCTGTTTTAGGGGCAAATCACAGTTAAATGGCAGAGGTCCCTCTATTTGAACATAGAGATAGGTGTGTTGATTCATTTTCATGTTGGTGAAATGAATTTCCTCCTGGTTAATATCAGAACTGAGACAAAGTGGAAGGCCAAGCCAGAAGGAGCCTCTGCTCACTTGTAACTCTGCATTTCTCCTCTAGGAAGAGGTGCCCAGACAAGAGATTTTTGTTATATGACTTCGCAAAAAATAGTGAAATGTCAGGTTCCTCACCATTTAAGATGCGATTAGTTCATCTGGACCTTAAAGGAGCTCCGCCAAAGGTCTCGTACCTCTCAGAGGTAAGAGCTCCATTTTGCCTCTCGAGACTCATCTCTGCTTTGGGTTTGGCCTTTAAAGTTGGAATGATGTTCTGTAGAAACTTGTGCTTAGAACACAGCCTCAGGGTTCCAGGTTGGGGCACAATGGTGGCAGCAGCATAGATTGTGAATTTCCCCCAAATCTCCTCACAACACAGACAGAGAAACCAGGACAGCCAAAGGGAAAACAGAAGGCACAGAAACCCACAAACTCTTCACTGTGGGCTGAACTGTGTCCCCAGAGAGAGATGTTCAAATCCTAACCCCACAGACCTGTCAAGGGGCTTGTTTTGGAAATAGGGTCTTTGCAGATGCCATTGACATAAGAGGAGGTCAGGCTGGAGTAGGGCAGGCCCTGTTCCCATGAGTGGTGCCTTTATAAGGAGAGGGAGGTATAGACCCAGAGTGTGCCCAGAGGGAAGACGATGTGAAGACTCCTAGGGAGGACACAGAGGCAGAGACTGGGCATGATGCATCTACAGGCCAAGGAACACCAAGGATTGCCAGCAGCCACCAGAAGCTGGAAGAGGCCAGGAGAGATCCTCCCCTACAGCCTTCCGAGAGAGTGCGACCCTGCCAACACCTTGATTTTGGACTTCTGGCCTCTAGAACTCTGAGAGAATAAATTCTTACCCTTCTAAGCCCCTCAGTTTGTGGTGATTTGTCATGGCTGCACTCTTCAACAAAAGTGGCTATCAGGATGTCCCCATGAATTCCAAAATGCAAGTGGGTGGGGCAGAGCAGATAGCATAGCACCCACATGGGGTCAGCAGCTGGCAGGAGGTGGTGGGGGAAAGAGAAAGAGGAATTCTGACAGTAGCCCCACATGTCAAGGTCTCCTATCAGAGAGACACTAGGGGAAGGTGTCGGTGGCTCCAAGTTGAGGGTGAGTACACAAACATTCGACAGAGGGTGCTGGGAGGCCCAAGGCTCTCAGAAATACCTTCCAGAAGGACAGAGCCCCACACTAAGGACACATTGTTGGGAAAAGAAACTGCCTTGAGCTGGGCAGGAACACTGAGGGTGAGGGAGGGAGAAGGGATCCAGAGGAGGCAGAGACGAAGTAACGTGGAAGTAGCCGCACGGAGTCCATAACTCCTAATCCTGTTGTAACAATAGAGGAGGGAGCCTGAGCTGGGCCATCTCCATCCCAAACACAAGAACCTGTCCTTAAAAGTACAAGAAAACACATCGTTTAGAAATTAGCAACAGAAAAGGATTGTGCTTAAATACCATACAAAGGCATTGTAATAAAAAACGATGATCTGAGTAACATTGTTATGATGAAACTGCACCAGGAACATGTGACCACAGAGTAGATGAGGTTATATTTCTGTATTACCATAATATTTCAAAATGAGATCAAAGATACTAAGAAAATGATAGACATTGTGAAGGAACAGCATAAATCAGAAATAGAAAAGCCCAGGGGCCAGCCCGGTGGCATAAGTGGTTAAGTGCATGCGCTCCGCTGCGGCGGCCCAGGGTTCACTGGTTCGGATCCCGGGCGTGCACCGACGCACTGCTTGTCAAGCCATGCTGTGGCGGTGTCCCATATAAAGTGGAGGAAGATGGGCATGGATGTTAGCCCAGGGCCAATCTTCCTCAGCAAAAAGAGGAGGATTGGCAGATGTTAGCTCAGGGCCCATCTTCCTTACAAAAAAAAAAGAAATAGAAAAGCCCAGAAATGTGATAACCAGAGAAAAGGAGGATGTGAAAAGGTTGTCTCATGAATGAATTACAAAGAAAAAGAACAAAAATCAGAAATGAAGACTAAATTAGAAGAAGAACAAAAGTGAATAGACACCATGGAAAACAGTATTGGGACATAAATGACAAAAGAAAAAAACAAACATGAAGAGAGACAAAGCATTGTGAGAAATTGATAGATAGAGAAGATAGGCAAAGGTCCAACTGAGAGGTCACTGGAGTTCCTGTTTCTGTTATCTGTTGCTGCAGATAACGGACAGACCACCCCAAACCTAGAGGCTTAAGACAACTACTTATTATTCCCATTTTCCGTGGGCTCTCTGGGTGCTTCTCTGGTCTGACCTGGGCCTCCTCGGGTGTTTGCTGTCCCATGACAACTAGAAACCCCTGATGATCCAAGATGGCCTTACTCCCATGTCCAGCAATTAGTGCTGACTGTCCGCTGGGCACCTTGGTTCTCCTCCACCTGGGCTCCTCTCCTCCATGTAGGCTCTTCTCCATGTGAGCTCTTGTCCTCTCAGAGGCCAAGCCAGCTTTCTTTCAGCATGGCAGTCACAGGGCAGTGCTTCGAGAGCTCGGGAGCAGAAGCTGCAGGGCTCCTGGGGGCCTAGTGTTACTCTTGACAAAGCAAGTCCAAGGTCAGCCCAGGTTCAAGGCTTGGAATAGATGTCACCTCTTGATGGATGTCCAGTATTATGGCCATGTTTTCAATTTTCAACAGTCCCCGAATAAGAGAAAGCAATGCTACAGAACAGATGCTAAGAAACTACAATTCAAAGACACTTCCCTGAAATTAAAAACTACTAAAATCTGCATGTTGAAAGGGGATACCATGTACCTGGAGAGTTTACCTAGAATGATATACACCGAGGTATCTTGTAGTAAATGTATCAGACTCTAAAGAAAATGAAAATGAAAAAAATCTTTTGGGCACACAGGAAAAAGCCCCAAATCACATATAAGGGAAAGAAGGTCAGATTGTCATCAGATTTTTTTTTTCCTTTGGTGAGGAATATCAGCCTTGAGCTAACATCCATGCTAATCCTCCTCTTTTTGCCGAGGAAGACCGGCCCTGAGCTAACATCCGTGCCCATCTTCCTCCACTTTATATGGGACGCCACCAAGGCACGGCTTGACAAGCAGTGCATCGGTGCGTGCCGGGGATCCAAACCTGCGATCCCTGGGCCGCCGAAACAGAGCACGCACACGTAACCGCTACACCACCAGGCTAGCCCCGTCATCAGATATTTGACAGCAACATTTTATGACAGAAGATAAGGGAGTAACATATTTAAGATACTCAAGAAAATATAATATGAATCAAGGATTTTGTATCCAGCCAAATTGACCTTTGAGTATAAAAGCCACAGACCAACTGTTATAAACATCCAAGAACTGAGTGAATTTACTGGAGAACAGGCTGCAGCTGCAGCATCAGGACTGGAGTAACCAAATAACTGCTGAGAGGAAATTCTCCTTAAAGAATTCCAGTCAATATTCACAGAAGGAATGACATAATTGGAAAGTCACCACCTTGCTGTTTAATGCCAACTAACTAGTAACTCAGTAGTTGTTGAAGCCATTAGGCAGAACTTCAGGGGTAGATCTGGCTGATGCCCCCTGAATCCAGTGATCAGCCCAACATCACTCTGGTGAGACAGCAGACTTGTGCCTTCTAGAACCACCTGTGAAACATTCTTGCCAGGGGCCGGCCTGGTGGTGCAAGCGGTTAAGTACTCGCACTCCGCTTTGGCGGCCCCGGGGTTCACAGGTTCAGATCCCAGGCACGCACTGACGCACCACTTGTCAAGCCATGCTGTCTCGGTGTCCCGTATAAAGTGGAGGAAGATGGGCATGGATGTTAGCCCAGGGCCAATCTTCCTCAGCAAAAAAAAGGAGGATTGGCATCGGATGTTACCTCAGGGCTGATCTTCCTCACACAAACAAAAAAGAAACAGTCTTGCCAAAAGAATGAAACCTGACTCTAATTGCGTCTTCACATCTAACCACCAGCATGTACAAGAATGGGAATTAGGCAAACACACTGAAGGACATCCTGAGAATACCATCCATGAAATCCAAAATTTGGAAAACCATATAAAACAAAGGACCTGGTTTCTTCAACAAATAAATCTCAAATTAAAAAAAAAAAAAGCAGAGAGGACTGTTAAAAATCAAAATAACTTTCACAGGGGGCCAGCCCAGTGGCCTAATGGTTAAGTTCCCATGCTCCGCTTCAGTGGCCCAGGGTTTGCAGGTTTGGATCCCGGGTGTGGACCTATGCACCACTCATCAAGCCGTGCTGTGGCAGGCGTTCCACACGTACAGTAGAGGAAGCTGGGCACTGATGTTAGCCCAGGGCCAATCTTCCTCAGCAAAAAGAGGAGGATTGGCAACAGATGTTAGCTCAGGGCTAATCTTCCTCACCAAAAAAAAGAAAAAAGAAGAACTTTCACAGATCCATTCAAAAAAAATCCATCGTATCGACCCTGTCTGGATTGGGTTCAAACAGGCCACATGTGAGAAGATTTTAGAAACAGGGAAATTTGAACAGGGATGATATTAAGGAATTATTTGGTTAGATGGGATAATGATATTGTGGTTATGTTTTTTAAAGTCTTTATAAGAGATATATAGGTGAAAAGATATGTCGTCTGGGATTTGCTTTAAAATACTCCAGTCAAAAAAGAAAAGTGGAAATTAGGTGAAGTAAAATTGGCAACATGTTGGCAGTCGTTGAATCTCAGTGAGAGACGCGTGGGAGCACGTCATATAATACCCCTGCGTTTGTGTATGCTTGTACAGTTTTGTAACAAAAACCTTCTCCACCTGAGGCCGCTGCCGGGTGCTGGGAAGGGAGCCAGGCTTCTGGGTCTCAGGCTGAGCTCATGGCGTCTCAGCCACCTGCAGCACAAAGCATTGTTACCAACCCTGAGAACAGAAATGCCCAGTAGGCTGAGAGGTGGTCAGATGGCTGTGAGAGGCCAAAAAGGAAACCAGATGCAAAACCGCTGAGGGGAAGAGGAACATGCCGTAACGTTGTGTTTCATGTATCCGCGTGTCTGAGCGGGTTAGCCAACTTCTTTCCACGGTCAATCCGCCTCCTTCTGTAATTTGCAGTCATTGACTACCCATTTTATGAATTATCCTCAGCTAATTTTCAGTCCCAGCCTGATTTCCTTTTTCATCCAGCATGCTTCGGGATGTCCCCATATTCTTGGGGAAAGAACACTGACAGCAACGTAAGCAAGAGTGTTAAATCATGTAAAACCTACAGCGGCCCTTCTCTGGAGACGGGCTGCTGCTTTAAGTATCTGCAGGGAGTTGCACGCACAGTGTGCTCTGTTTCACCCCAACCTTGATGCCAGACTAGAAGAACATCTCAGTGCATGTCTAGTAGACACGAGGAGAACTGGGGGAGGAGCCCACGAGCGGAGCCCGGAACTGCTGCGCCTCTCTTCCCTCTTCTTTCTCCTTTGATGGCTTCTTTCCAGGCGCTCACCACCAGCCCTTCAGAGCCCTGTCCATTTCCCCTCACTCCCTAGTTTCCTGTCCTGTAGAAGGCTCCTCTGTGCTGCGTCTCATCTGGACGAGGAGCTGCTCCTGTGACGCTGGAGAAGGGCTGTCTCTCCCAGCGCCCAGCCCTCCCTCCCCAGCTAAGCCACCAGTCAGCTGCTGTTAGACAGAGCTCCAGTTTATAGCATGCAGTCCCCCCACCCCTATGTGTCAAAAGTACACATTCCAGTTAAAAGTTTCCAGGAAAACTACAAATATCAACTACAATCCATGTCCATTAGCTAAAAAAAAGTCCACATGGTACAAGTGTGTCACTCTGTTCAAGTAGTCACTTCTTTATGACATCCCCATTTTCCTCCCAGATTTTTCCTCTGTTCCACACCCTGGGTGCAAACGGCCTCCTCATCGAGTATGAAGACATGTTTCCCTATGAGGGCCACCTGAGGCTGCTGAGGGCTAAGCATGCATACAGGTACCCCCCGCCCCGCCCCAGCATGGTGATGCAACGTGCAGAAAAAGCACATGTGGTGGGTGGCGACCTGGAGATGTGGGGAGGGCAGGCAAGACTTCAACAGTGGGGGGACAATCCTTTTCAGTCTTTTTAAATGCATGTCTCTAATTATAAAAATAAAACATTCACTGAGGAGAATTTGGAAATGTTTAAAAGAGAAAGTAAGCCTCAGCTATGACCCCCAGGAAGAGTTGGGACCCATGTGTCTGTCTGCCAGTGTCCTCATCAGTAGGTGAAGTATGTAGGAAGCACTGTGACAGGTGTCGATGCGGGGAAGGAGGGCTGCTCTTTAAGGCCACAGGCGGGATCTCATCGGGAAAGTGAAGATTAAAGGGGAGAGGGTCAGAATCAATGAAATCAGATACAGTGCTCACGGGTGCACCCCACTTGGCTTTCAGGTTATGGGAGTCCATGTAAATCAATAACAAGCAGCCCAGAAGAAAAATGGGCAAAGGACGTTTACTGGTAGATCCCAAAAAGGAAATAAAAATGGCCAATAAGCATATGATAGTAATAAAAGATATCAAAACAACAATGAAATGCCATTTTGGCTACCAAATTGGTGAAGCTTTTAAAAAAATGCTAATGCTGTGTGTTCACGAGGGTAAGAAAGAGCAGACCTCCTGCTGGTACAATGTAAAGCCACCCAGCCCTTCTGGAGGGTGGCTTGGCTCTGTGTGTCAGAACTCCCCAAAACGTGCTTGCCCCACGTGTGTGGGCAGAAAGATGGGAAAAGTGTGAACCCGAGTGCTGACACCATGGGGCAATTGCCCATGGCTTTTGTTTTCTTCATGCTGCTCTGTTTTTCTTCCTGCAATGAATACGTTTTGTTCATTTTTTTTTTTTTAAGTGAAAAAGGTGCTGGGGTTCCTGGGAAGCTTGAAAAAGGTATATTTAGGGTAAAGACAGACCTTTATATAATCAATACATTTATAGAACTGATTAACTTAAGAGATGTTTCAAACACATAGAGAAATTGAGATAAATTCATAACTGACAACTCATGATGGAACAGGGCAGTCAGCCCTTCCCGGGATGTAACCCCGATGGAGTCAGCAGCAGAATGCTCACCTGGAGGGACCTTGGGCATTCCTGCCTTCAGGCATCCCTACAGCAGTGACCTATGAGGGTTTTATTCTTTCACAGATGGGGACACTAACTCCCACGGAATTCACTCCACTGGAATCTTGAAACTCTTCTTCTTTCTTTCTTCTATTAAAGGGATCTCCAGCTTTTTCTATAAAGGGCCAGACAGTAGATATTTTAGACTGTGCTGCCTATCTGGTCTCTGTTACAACTGTTTGTGGGGCAAAAGCAGCCACAGATTATCATATGTAAATGAGTGAGTGTGGGTATGTTCCAGTAAAACTCCTTGTTTGCACTGAAATATGAATTTCATATAATTTTCACATCACAAAATATTCTTCTTCTTTTGATTTTTCTCAACTATTTTATTTTTAGAATGTAGATAGTGGGGGCCGGCCCCATTTCCTACTGGTTAAGTTTGGCACGTTCTGCTTTGGCAGCCTGGGTTCCGTTCCCGGATGCAGACCTACACCACTGGTCGGTGGCCATGCTGTGGCAGTGACCCACATACAAAATAGAGGAAGATTGGCACAGGTGTTAGCTCAGGACGAATCCTCAAGCAAAAAGAGGAGGATTGGCAAGGGATGTTAGCTCAGGGCAAATCTTCTTCAGCAAGGAAAAAAAAAAAGGAGAAATCATTCTTGGGTCACAGGCTATACAAAAACAGGTGGGCAAATTTGCCCTCCGGCCCATCTGCCAATCCCTGCTGTGGAACATGATTCCCTGTGTGGCCCAGTTTCTTATAAAATGACTTCAGCCTCTTGTACAGTTTAGGTAAGAATAGCAGGTAAAAAGCAAACTGTTACTTGAGGACATAAAGGGCATCATTTCCCAAATTCTAGAGCAGGAGCCTTCTCTGAAACCATAGGAAGATCTGTTGAGCTTTTCATAGTAGTTTCCCCAGCAGAGTCCTCCAGGAACCTGATGAAGAAGGATGGGGGTACGTGTGAATGGGAGCTGGAGTGTGAACAGGAGCTGGTGTGAACCTCTCTGGGTGATCTTTGTCTCTCTAGCCCCTTTGAAATCAAAGAGATCCTGCATCTGGCCACACTGAACAACCTGGAGGTCATTCCCTTGGTGCAGACATTTGGACACATGGAGGTAAGTGGGAGGAACAGAAGTTAGCTGGTGCCCAGGTATGGGGTTCAGGGGTGCATGGGTGGTGATCAGCCACAGGCAGGGAGAGGCTCTTGCTCTCAGAAGTCTCTGCCCTGCGAACAGCAAAAGAGCATGGAGCTCTAGGTCAGAGCGCCCTCTGTCCAAGGCATGGAGGAAAAGAGCCTGAAGGGGGATGTGTGATTCCCAGAGAGCCCTGCAGGCCAGTTGTTTTCCTTTTTAACTTGTATTCATCAAAATATTATTGTGTGAGGTAAAATGCAACATTAAGAAAAGAAAACATGCTTTCTGTTTTCTCTGTGTCCTTTTCTCGCTTAATATTGAAAATATTTTCCCAAGCTCCTATGTAATCTTCAAAAATATTTTTCACGTCCGCATTAAACACGGGAAGCAGTGAGACATAGCGTTGATCTAATGGCTGTCAGGTTCCATCTTTTCCTCCAATGAATGCACCTGTTGGCTCTATCGTCGGTCCTTCCCTGAGTCTGCCTTCACTGTCGCCTTAAAGGAGCTGCCTTCACTCCCCGCACTTACTCCTTCACGTGCTCGCGCTCCTGTTCTGGGTGCCTTCGGGGACTCCCTCCCATAATCAGTCCCCCTGCTTTCCCGGTTGACTTTCCCTGCTGTGCTCTCTGGGCTCATCACCACCGGGGACCACATCCCCCACAAAGCATCTCCCAAGGCCATTGGTGTCCTCCGAGTCACTAAATCCAGTGACAGTTTCAGTCCTCTCTTACTTGACTCTCAGTGGCTTTTGGCATCACCAACACACCCTCCCCTCCTGGTTCCCCTCCTTCTGGCTGCACCCGAGCCCATCGTGCACTGTGTGCTGTCCTGTAGCTGCCTCTGTACTTGGCAGTCCCCACGGCTCCTCTTGAGGCCTCTTTCTTCCCACTTCACGCTCTTTCTCTGGATAAATCCATATCTGCCCCTGCTTCCCTTTCCTGTCCTCAGTGACTCCCAGACCCCCATCTCCAGATGCATTGAGAGGCCCCTTCCAGCCTCAGGGAGGGGCTGCACCATCCCCAGCACCCCCATGCCCACAGCATTGCCAGTCCTCCATCAGTCCCCACTGGCTGCTGTTGTTCCTCTGTGTCTTGAATCAGCATGGCCTCCATCCCGCTGTCACCCTGCTGCCTGACCTATGGAAAAACACTCCTAACAGGTCTCCTGGCATCGGCCTATCCCCTCCCCTACTCCTCCCCACCACAGCCAGTCTGGTTGTCTTAGCACAGCCTGGTCAGACCACACTCCACCTCCTTAAGTGGGCTTACTCTGCTCTTAGGGTGGATTCGTTTCCTGGGGCTGCCATAACAAAGTGCCACAAGTAGGTGGCTTAAAACTACAGAAATTTGTTCTCACAGTTCTGGAGGCCAGAAGTCCAAAATCAAGGTGTCCGCAGGGTGGTTCCTTCTGTAGGAAGCCCTTTACATGTGTTCATTTGCCATCAGTACATCCTCTTTGGTGAAATAAGTGTTCAAATTTTTGCCCATTTCACTTTCTGAACTGTTGAGTTTTTAAAGATCTTTGTATATTCTGGATACAAGTCTTTCATTAGAAATGTGATTTGCAAATATTTTCTCCCAATCTGTACTTTGTCTTTTCATTCTCTTAGTGTATTTCAAAGAGCAAAAGTTTTTAATTTTGTGAAGTCCAGTTCATCAGTTTTCTCTTTGATGAATCGTGCTTTTGGTATTATTTCTACGAACTCTGCCAGTCACCAGGTCACGAAGACCTTTCCTGTTTCTTTCTAAAGTTTTACACTTACACATTCTCCATTTAGACTTAGGATCCATTTTGAGTTAATTTTTGTGTGGGATTTATGTTGAGGTTCATTTTTTTGGCATATAGCATGTAATCACTTAGATGACCAGTTGTGCCAACAGCATTTGTTGAAAAGACTATCCTTTCTTTGAAATTTGGGATTTGGAATTGCCTTTGCACTTTTGTCAAAAATCAGTTGACTATATTTGTGAGGGTCTATTTCTAGACTTTACTCTGTCCTGTTTGTGTGTCTGTCCTTCTGTCGATACCACATTATCTTGATTACTATAGCTTTATTGTAAGTCTTAAAACCAGGTAGTGAGATTCCTCCAACTTTATTCTCCTCTTTCAGAACAGTTTTGGCTCTTCTATTTCCTTTGCCTCTCCATATACATTTTACAATCAGCTTGTCTATATATCTACAAGAACCCTTGCTGGGATTTTGATTGGAATTGTGTTAAATCTGTAAATCAATCAAGAGGGAAATTACCTCTTTACTATGTTGAGTTTTCCAATCCATGAACATGGTATGTCAGCCATTGTGTTATTCCCCCAAATGTGTTATTTTTTTTTTTCTTGATGCTTTCAAGATTTTCTGTTTGTGTCTGCCTTTTAGCAGTTTGGTAATGGTGTGTCTAGGTCTGGGTTTCTTTGCATTTATCCGGCTTGGATCTGTTGAACCTCTTGGATCTGTAGATTATTGTTTTCCTTCATGTCTGTGAAGGTTGGAGCCATCTGTACCCCCCTCCCTCCTCTCCTCTGGGGCTCCCTGTGCACATATTTGGGTTCCTTGATGGTGCCCCCGGTCTCTGAGGCTCTGTTCACTTCCTTCCTTCTTTTCTCCCTGTGACTCAGATTGAATGATTTCTGTTGATCTACTGTCCCAATCACTGACTCACTCTTGTGACATTTCAGATTGGCTGCTGAGCCCATGAAATGGAATTTTCATTTCCATTATTGTATCGTTTCCTTTAATTCTGGGAACATATTCATAATAGTTTCTTTGAAATAATTGTCTGATAAATCCAACACCTGGGCCCACTCAGAGTCAGTTTCTATCGACTAGTTTGTTCCCTGAGTCTGGGCTCCACTTTCCAGTTTATTTGCACATCTCATAATTTTTGGTTGAAAACTGGACATTTCAGATAATATGTTGTAGCAAATCTGACCTTTCCCCTGCAGCTGGTTTTAAGTTGCCTGGATTCAGGGTCAGGATTTAATCTGCTGGTGGTCAGCCAGGGTTTGGGTGAGGTTGTGCTTGAGCCCATCAGGCCCCACCTTGTGCTGCGGGGGCCAGGGGCACTCCAAGTTTAGCCAGTTCTCAGTCTGTGCAGCCGCTCTCCACCCAGTGCTCTCAGGCCCCCGTGCCTGTGTGCCCCAGTCAGCCAGGGTGTGAGGAGGGCAGGTGTCACCTTTATAGCTCCCTCATTTCCAGGGTCACCCTTAATTTCCGTCTGGTGGCAGCTCACCCCGTGGGGACCGCAGAGTTAAGGCAAGGCTGCTGCTCTTGCTGATGGCTCCCAATGGGCGGGTTTCCCCACAGCCAGCCCTGAGCAGGAGGGGAGCACCCAGGTGAGACGCATGTCTGTTCTCACTGTGGTCACAGCTGATTCTCAGCCACAGACGTTTCCCAACTTGTTGTTCACCTGTGGTTGGCTTCCAGAGCCCCGAACTGGTTGTTTTGACTAATGGTTCATTCTGAACTTGTTTTGGGGAGAGGATTTGCCGACCTCTTCACACCACTCTAGCAGGGGGTCCACCCAGCCTGTCATTCTTTTTTTTTTGCGGGGGGGAGGAAGATCAGCCCTGAACTAACATCTGATGCCAATCCTCCTCTTTTTGCTGAGGAAGACTGGCCCTGGGCTAACATCCGTGCCCATCTTCCTCCACTTTATATGGGACGCCGCCACAGCATGGCCTGACAAGCGGTGTATCGGTGCGCGCCCGGGATCTGAACCGGGGCCGCCAGCGGTGGAGCGTGCGCACTTAACCGCTACGCCACAGGGCCGGCCCCCAGCCCATCATTCTGAATGTGAAGGATCCTGTCTCTCCAGTCTTCTCACTCAGCCTAGTTAGAATCAAGGGAAATGCAGGGCCATGATCCATGACGAACCAGCTGGATGGCTCAGATCCCTGCTGCTTCCGCAGCACAGCCTTGTGGCTGGTCCCAACTGCCTTCCACACCACCACGCCCACCCTCTCTGTGGAGTTTTTGGGCAGACACAGGAAGTTTAAACCACGAAGTCCAGGACCCAGCTGACATGCCTCAGGCGACTCAGAGGCAGGAGCTGCAGGTCTCCTTTGGAGTGGTTCCTTGCCGCGGGGAGCTCAGGCACGAGCTTCTGTCCTCCAATGTCACCGAGCTCCCTCCTGTCATCTCTCTCCACAGTTTGTGCTGAAGCACGAGGCTCTTGCTCACCTCCGGGAAGTGGCACTTTTCCCCAACACTCTGAACCCCCACAAAGTGGAGTCCTTGGCACTGGTGGGAGCCATGATCGACCAGGTCATGGAGCTGCACCCGGGGGCCCGGTGGCTCCACGTTGGCTGTGACGAGGTGGGTGCCTTCGTCACTTCTTCCACTCCTTGAGCCTCACCAGCGAGACGTGCTCTCCCCAGTTCTGCAGCAGTCACCTTCTCCCACCTCATGGGTTCTTCTCTTAAATAGAAAAGTAGTCCACATACCAAAGGATAAAGAAGGGCTGGCGGAGGAGATGTTCCCCGGTGAGGGCGTTCATCCCAGCTGACAGGTGACCTTGCACGGGCAAGCCTGCAAAGCCGAGCAAGGCACAGGCTGTCCAGTCTCCACAGGCACCCCACAGGTCAGCTGAGCGATGGGCTGGGGCCCAAAATGGCTGTCCTGCCCACACCTCCAGCAGCGACAGAGCCAGTCACTCCTGGTTAGGCAAATGCATGCCCTCGGGGCTGGCAGTGGGTGTGAGTTTGGGCTGGTTACTTCTTCCAACTGAAGAAATGCAGTTTTGGATGGTGGGACTTTGGGGCCATGGAGCACTAGCTGGAAAAGGCAGTTCCCAGGGGAGCTAGGTGACGTGGCCCCCACCCCTCACCCTTCTGCTTCACCCCTTCTGAAGAAGCACAGACAGGACTGGGGAAGATTCCATGCTGGCCAAGTACAGCTGGACCTGAGGTGGGTGGTGGTTTGCAGACCTTTTAGCCCCAGAGCTTGATCCTTTTCTTCAAAGGAAATCTTTTTTTTGTAGTAAATACACATAGCATAGAATTTACCATTGTAACCGTTTTAAAGTGTATGATTCAGTAACTTCTAAGCACATTCACAACATTGTGCAACCACCACCTCTGTCCAGTCCCAGCACATTTCATCCCCCAAATAGAAACCTCACACCCCTAGCAGCCACTCCCCAGCCCCCTCCCCCAGCCCCCAGCAGCCACTCATCTTTGTGTTTATAGATTTGCCTCCTCTGGACATTTCATAAATGGAATCATGTGGTATGTGGCCGTTTCCGTCTGGCTCATTTCACTAAGCCTGATGTTTTCGAGCTTCTTCCACATTGTGTGTGTCAGTGCTTTGTTCCTATTTGTGGCTGAGTAATATTCCAGTGTATGAATAGACCGCACTCTGTTTACCCATTCTTCTGTTGGTGGACATCTGGGTTATTTCCATCTTCTGGCCGTTGTGAATAGAGCTGCTGTGAACATTCAAAGGAAATCTCGAGTGGCAATTTAGGTCCCAGTGAAGAAGGCAGGGTCACCCTTTGCCGCCTCGTCCTCACATGCAGCTGCCCCTGAGATTCTCTCAGGCCCTGGTGTGAACCCCTGGTCTCTCCCAAGTGTGTCTGAGGGTGAGGAGGGCCCTCTGCAGGCAAACCCATCCTGTGCCTTCCCTCCAGGTCTATTACCTTGGAGACGGTGAGGCCTCGAGACAGTGGCTGCAGCGTGAGCAGAATACCAAAGCAAAACTGTGTCTGTCCCACGTGAAGGCGGTGGCCAGCCACGTGCAGACCCGGCACCCCGCCACCACGCCCCTGGTATGGGATGACATGCTGCGGGACATCCCCGAGGACCAGCTCTCAGGTTGGCCCTGGGCCTGTCCCCCAGGGAGGCAGGCCGCTCGGGGGGAGGGATTCCTGGTGCCGTGAGTGCTAGATGCTGAGCTGCTCCTGAGGCCCTGACTGCTAAGAGGGAGAAACACTAGTAAATCTGCACTGAAGCTTTTAGCTCTAGACAACCCCATTAGAACCACTTTTTCAGTTTTCTCACACAAAATTGCCATTCCCTAAAAGACATCTTAGAATCTTACAGGAGTACAGAAGTGATGGGTCTGAACTGGAAAGCAGCCACAGGCCCCAAGGGGCCCTGGACATCAGGAGGAGACGGAGAGGTGGGGGTAAAGGGGTCCTGATGGTCCCTGAGAGTATCCAATGCTTCTGGCAGCCTCAGCCCCACACGACCTCTGCGGCCAGTCCTGCAGGGGCCGTGGCTGAGGTTCACACTGGCTGCTGGACGAGCCAGCAGGTGGAGGGAAGCAGTGGCCCCCCCGGTCCCCGTGGACTCACATCCCTGTGGTTTACTCACAGCCACGGCCCAGAGCCAGGATCCACGCTCCAGGGCCTATGGCACTGCCCGCTCTTCTGCAGGGCTTGGGTGTCCTTGAGGACACTACCCACGTGTGGCCACTTGGGTTTTAATTAAGATAAATTAGAATTAAATCCATTTAGTGGTGTTCCTGATGCACCTGGGCCTAGTGACCACATCACAGCACACAGAGTGTTTCCACCCTCGCAAGAAGCTCTGGGACCGCTGGCCTGGGGCTCACCCGTGACAGAACTCTAAAAGTCCAGTTATTTCCAAAGCTGGCTGGCTCTGTGGTTGTGGCATTTACTGCCAAAAATCTAGCACAGTGCTTAGTCTGTACTTAAAATCCACATCCTAAAACAGACAGGTTGTGTTCCATTTTAACGCAAGAAGTGTGGGCTGGAGGGTCTTCTAGGTGGGTCTTGGCGCTCATGGCCTCTCTCCACCCCCAGCATCGGGGGTGCCGCAGCTGGTGGAGCCCGTGCTCTGGGACTACAGGGCCGACCTGGACGTCCATGGCAAGGGTCAGTACCGCGTTGCCAGGGGAAACCCCTCGTCTTGGCCCCCGGGACCCTGTAGCCCTGACTGCCTAGCTGCAGGGGATGCAGGGGCCTCAGTTGCTTGGTCTCTCAGAATTCAGTGAATTGCCTCTGCTTCACCACAGGCCTCCTCTCCACTGTGGCCCTGGGGGAGTGGCCCTCAGCACATGTCCTGCTACCTGGGTCACTCACAGGATGCCTGTTCTCTGCAGTGTTTTCCTAATGAACAAGTAAACTAAGGGCCACTTGTAACCAGCTGGCCTCTCTCCTCTCACCAAGATTTAAGCCTGTCCAGAACTAAACCCAGTGGTCGTGGGCTCCTCCTGGTTTTCCATCTGGACAGGCATGGTATCTGAATATTCGAGTTTCAGGGCTTGGCGGCAGCAGGCCCCTGGGTACCCAGGCCAGCCACACCTCTTGCTTTCTTGTTCAGCCCTTCTCATGGAAAAGTACCAGAAGTGTGGTTTTCCCCGGCTGTGGGCTGCCAGTGCCTTCAAGGGGGCCACGGGCGCAAGCCAGGCCCTGACCCCCATCGAGCACCACCTCAGAAACCACCTGCAGTGGCTGCAGGTAGCCGGCAGCGGGCCAGCAAACACGCTGCAGGGCATCATCCTGACGGGCTGGCAAAGGTAAGGCCCCTGGGGCCCCAGGGAAGCTCTCAGAGGCCGGCCTGTCCTGGGAAGGTCAAAGCAGCTCCTGTTGCCAGACAAACCACCCTCCTCACCGGTCCAGTCTCAGCCTCAGTACTTCCCGCAGCTGGATGAGGGGAAGGGGCTGGTGCTCTGAGGAAAGTGTGGTGGAGCCCGGGCCCCCAAGGAGCAGCTGCAGCTGCACAAAAGCATCTAGAGTTGGGCCCTCACATCCCTGCAGCCACCCCCCAACTCTGCAGAGGGGACGCCACTTGGGCTGTTCAGGGCCGCAGAGCATACTGGCCCTCCTGGCCCCACCCCCCTATGTGATCCAGACACGTCTCTGCATGTTTTCGGTCCACGGCCTCCCCTTAAGGCCATGCATGACTGTTTGTATCTCACATATGGCATGAGGACAGATTTTGGCCCTCGGGATTTCATACCACTTGAAAAGTAGAGCTACAAACGAACCCCTGGTCCTGGGCCAGGTCTTGGCTGCAGGTCCCATCCTGCGATTGGGAGGGTGGAGAGGAAGGCCAGACAGACCCAGCACCGAGGGCAGGGTGAGTGCCCTGAACCCGAGGGAGGCCGTTGGAAACAGGGCCTTGTGAGGTGAGCTCCAGGACCCGCCCATGTCCCCCTGATGCTCTGACCTCACTTACAAAGCTGAGTCAAAGATGACCTTGAGAAGGATTTCAGGTTGGTGACTGCAGAGCATTAAGCCCCAGGCAGGGCCTTCTGGGCGAGGTCCAAGTGTGTCTGCCAGCCACTGGGAAGCTGATGAACATTTCCAGAGGCAGCAGCTGGTGCTGCAGAACCTTCTAGTTGCCTGTCCTGTAGTGCAGTGAATAGCGTGCATCTGCTATGAGGGCACAGGGCAGCAGGAGCTGAGCACCCCTCTCCTGTGGACTTAGGTACGACCACTTCTCTGTGCTGTGCGAGCTGCTGCCCGTGGGCATCCCGTCCCTGGCCATCTGTCTGCAGTCACTCCTACACGGTAGAGTCGCCCAGTTCCTCCCAGAAGACAGGAGGGCAAGAGGCACAGAGGCTGAATGCCCGATGCCCCTGGCAGCCATCTCCTCAGGGCTGGACTGTGGTTTTCCTCATGGGGAGGGGGAGGACGAGCTCACCACCCCAGCTCAGCTGCCTACCCACCCCGCTGCCAGCCCAGGTCTTCAAGCCTAAACCCAAGGTAGGCCAGGAAGTTAGGGGACATGCCCCCCAGACAGAGTGAACCCATAAAAGAAATTCATCATGGATGGGGTGCAGAAAAAGGTTCCGCCTCTGCTGTGTAAATGTCCTGAATGCCCAGTGCTGGCAGGTTGTGGAGACAGGCGCCTCCGGGCCCCAGGGGAGCACCTTACCCCAGCACTCCCACTTCTGGTTCAGCCGCGGGAGCAGCGGACACGGGGTAGAGATGTGGGGCTGTTCCTTAGAGCACTGACTAGGACAGCAGTCAGGAGTCAGTAGGGAGGGCTTGGCTAAGTAAATCGTGTACATTTAAGCTGTGAGACCACGTAGGAATTGAAGACGACAGCGTATGTGGTGTTAGCGCAGGAAGACGTCCGAATGCATTGAGGAAAGCGGGGCGCTGAAAAACACACTGTTTAAGGAGGACTGCTGGCCCAGAGAGGGGTGACGGATAGACAGTGGACTCTGTCATCTTACTCTTTTCTGAAGTGTCAGTTCTAAACCGTTTGGAGAAAGTACAGCAGATAACAGAGACACGTTAACACTAGTGGGGTTGGCTTCAGCCCCTCCTCCGGGAGCTGGCAGCCTCCCACACGCCTCCACCCTCGGCCTCCACATGCGGCCCCTGCATGTTCTCACCTTCCTGCTGGCCTGTGATTAGCCTTCTTTGGTGGGTGTTTCTCACCCACCCTGACTTGGAGGTTTGTCCACGCTGGTACCTGCAGGCCTTGCTGCTTTGCTTCAGTTGCTCTGGAGTATTCCACTGTGTGAGAAACCGTGGTTGCAAACCGCTGCATGAGCCCTGGACGCCTGTGCGGCAGCCAGGCAGTGTGGGTTGGGCCTGCCCACAGGAAGGCCAGGGTTGCCCCTCGCAACAGTCATCTCCCTGGTGGAGACGCTGCCAGCGACGCTGATCTCATTTTATTTCCTAGTTTTTAATATAAGAAATGCATTTTCATGTGTTTAATGAGAAACAGCGGGCTCACCCATCCCTGAGGTCTCCTTGGGGTTGGCATGTGCCTGGCTGGCAGCCCCCCTCAGTCACTTGGCCCACGGCCTGAGGGCCTGGGGGTCCATCCAGGCCTCCTCTCCCTCCTCCAGAGACCCCTCTGACCACCTCTGTGTTTCAGGAGGCTTTGCCGAAGATGTTAAAGCAAGAGTGGAGAACTTCCTCGGGGTCTCCAGCCTGGAAATAACTGATTTTATGAGGTACTTCCCTCACCCCCAGCCCTGCCTCTCCCCTCACACTCAGGCCCGTCTCAGCTCGGCAGCTCTCTGTGCAGGGAGGCCGGCTCCTTCCCCGGCAGCGACATCCTGGCCCTCATCACGCAAGTCAGCCTCCACCTGCGCAGCTCCGTGGATGCGCTGCTAGAGAGGGACAGGTGAGTGGACAGGGTCGAGCCCCTACCCTGCACTCCCCACCGGACAGGGCGAGGGCCAGCCCATTCTGCATGGAGGCTTTCTAGGGGGGAGATGGGTTTTTAAAATTTCTACCAGACTCAGTTTTTTTCAAAGGTATTATTTAAAGCCACCCGAGGCTGCCTGCAGCAGGCCCACCTGAGTGCACGCATTTGCCCCCAGGTATGTGACTGGCTGGTTCAGCCCCTTCCATCGCAGGCGGAAGCTCATCCACCCAGTCATGATCCAGCACATCCAGCCCCAGGCCCTCAGGTAGCCCCCCCACCAGGCGGTGCCCACCCCCGGCTGCCCGGCCTCCCGCCGGGTGGCAGTTGTCTATGGCGATCTGCTTTGAACTAAGACAAGCTTTCTAGGCAATGTAGCCAGGGATTCCTAGGTGAAAACTTTGCTGAATCAGCTGTGCGCTTCAGAGTAGAGAAGCTAAGGCACTCCTGCCCAAAAGAGTGAGGGTCACCAAATGACCCGGCGGTGTCCAGGACTCATCTTGCCCCTCGCCCTCCTGGCCCCGAAGGGACACGGTCCCTGCCAGCCAGCCCTCCCCGGTGCTTTCCTGACTCATGGCTCCAAGCTGGGGCCAATGCAGACTGTCCCACTGAGTGTAAGATGCTGTCAGCTGTCAACCGCTTCATGCACAAGAAAAACCCTGCTGGCCAGTCATAAAGAGCACTCAAGTTTCAGATATTAAGATGTGACAGTCACTCTCATATTCCCAACAGCCCTGTGAGGTAGGCGCTAATAGCCCCATTTTACAGATGGGTTAATCAAGGCATGGAACTCTACTGACCCGTGGGGTTATTGAGAATGTGAGTGTAGAGTGCGTAGGCCGTGGGCTGTGACCCAGGGGTCCTCACCTGGCGGGCCCACTGCTGTGTGCGGTTCTCAGTCTCCTGGCCAGGTGGAGCACCCTCGTGCAGGAGCTGGAGGCTGCCCTGCAGCGCATCTACTACCCAGACGCTGTGGACGAGTGGCTGGAGGAGAACGTGTACCCCAGCTTGCAGCAGCTGCAGGGTCTGCTGCAGGACCTCGGCAAGGCGGCTGGCCCCCAGACCCCACTGGCCAGCCCCGGCCTGGACACCAGCCAGGACCCCTGAGGGGTGGGGACCGAGCGTGGGCCTCCCCACACCCTCCTCTAGCTGCATCCAGCCTGACGCTCTCCTCCTGCCGAGCCCAGGACGGTGAGCAAGCAGGCGGTGCCCAGGGTGTGGACAGTTATTGTTGGGGAAAGAAAAGAGGGAATGCAGAGGAAAAGGCCCCTGGGACTGGGTGACGACCTGCATGTGAAACTTGAATTCTTCTGAAATAAAAGGAGAGCAGGAGCTAGCAATCACGCTGACATTTTGAAACGGACTCCATTACTCCCTGGCTCCTGGTGCTGCAGTGAGGCTCTCACAGTGGTCCTGAGACCCTCCTCGCCCTGGCAGCCCCAGCAAAGAGTCCAGAAACAACTCACCCCTGGGGGAGGGGAGCTGGCCACCCAAACCCCCTCCCCCTCATCTCAGAGCATCCTGTAGCCTGCAGGATGAGCATTCCAGAAACCAATTATAGTGTTGCACACTTTTTATTTTAGAAAAAAAGCATTTCAGATGTAACCATTTAAAAACCTAACTTCGACATGTTTAAATGACTATGTCCCCAAATTAAGGGCTGGTTGGGAGCCAGTGCTGAGAAGGGAGAGGATCTCATTTTTCTCAAGTGCCCTAGAAATGCTGTCCTTACTCTCACCCAGGTGGCCTCAGACCCCCAGGTCTGGGTGACACCACTGTGTTCCAGTTGTACCAGGCAGTTCCCAGGTACACAGCCTCCTGAGCCCCCTCTCAGAGGTGCTCTGGGCACACACTACACCTTGGAGGAACCTGGGTTCAAAGAAAGCCATCTCCACTCAGGAGCAAACCAGCAGGTCAGGTGTGGGTCAGCTCACTGGTGCCTAGCTTCCACTGGGGTGGCTGCAGCTGCCAGGGCCTGGCCCATTCCTGCTGCACACAAACAGGCCCAGCTACCAGGTCTTCCCAGAGTTCAAGAAAAGCTGGGAATCAGATTTCTAAGGAGAGATCCTGTCTTTTTTTTTTTTTTTTTTGGTGAGGAAGATTGGCCCTAAGCTAACATGTGTGTCAACCTTCCTCTATTTTTTATGTGGGTCGCCGCCATAGCATAGCCACCAACGAGTAGTATAGGTCTGCACCTGGGATCTGAAGCCGGGCCATCAAAGCGGTGTGCGCTGAATTTAACCACTATGTCACTGGGCTGGCCCTAAGATCCTGGTTTTTAAACACTGCACGAGGCTAGAAGAGATCATCTCTTCCCTTGCCAAGCGGCCTTTGCCCAGGCTGAGGGTAGAAAGCGGGAGAGCATCCTCCCTGTGACAGCCCAGCTGCAATCCCAGTTGGATCCAAGACAAGACGTCTGGGTAGAGTGGTCTGTGCGCTGGGGAGGCCTCAGGAGCAGGTGCAGCACACACAGCCAAGTGGGCCCCTCGGTGTCCGCCCTCCACACCAGCAGCCCATGGGCAAGCACCTCACTTGTGACTACTTCTGTCCAGCCAGGGAGGGGATGCTGCATGGGTGGCAGGATGGGGAAGGAGATGCTAGGATTCCTGAGGACATGCTGGCATTATTGCCTAACCTAGCCACTGGCCCCACAGGCGCCTACTGAAGCCTTGTTGTAACCTGTGAGCTGAGTTCCCGTGGGATCTGGTGTTGGCAAACCTCCCTCTCCACTCAAGAGTGCTCAGTCTCAGTGCAGGAATGCCCACCCCAGGACTCCACACCCTAGGCAGCCTGGGTGTCCTTGTCGTTTCAGAGGCTTGAGCCCCACATGGCTGGTTAGCTGTGGGGTGGGTCTATCCAGACCAGGCCACGCCACCTGTCACCCTCACAAGCCACAGTGCCCAGGCCAGGACCGTCTGATTCCAAGTGGCAGATCCAAGACCCATGCCCTCCCTGGACACCTTGGAGCCTGCAGAGAAGGTCCAGCCTGTGGTTTTGCTCAGAGGGCAGAAGCAAGCAGCAGGAACGGCCGAGGGTCCCACCCTGGGGCTTCCAGGGACACAGCCAGGCACTGAGGAGGAACACTCGCCAGCAGCCCATCAGGCCTGAGGAGATGCCATCAGAATTAAGGCCGGGGGCTCCATGGGTGTCAACTCTGGCTTCCGGGGCTATCAGCCTCACTGTCGCTGCTCTGAGACAGCTCCACAGGACTCTCAAGGCGGTGCAGCTCCAGGAAGGTGGTGATGAGCTTGGCGATGGCTTCCACATCACTGGGCCAGGCCGGCACCAGGAGGAAGGGCTGGTTACCGCAGCAGTGGTGCCGGCCACCCCACAACAACCAGAAAGACTACGCTAGTCTCCTTCTGGACCCTCCACTGCCAGCAACTTCCATCCTGATCCCCACCCTCACCCAACCCCAGCCCAGCCCTATGTTCCCACAAAGGTAGGGTCCCCCATGTCTCTGTCCCCTCTTCGTCATGGGGACCCCTGATGTCCCTGTCCCCTTGCTGTCCCCACCTGGGGACCTGAGTCCCTGTCCTCTCTCTGTCCCTGTGGGGACCCTCAACATTCCCATAGCAGTGGTAGCAGGCCTGCCCCTCCTCCCCCAGGATCCTCCGAGTCCTTTCTCTGTGCCCTGCTGTGCTAGGCGGTCCACTGTGAGGGCCACCTGCCGGGGGGAGGGGCATGGACGGACTGCCTTGGCCAATCAAGTCACCCATCCTCGGCTTACCTGCGGTGGCCCATGACAGCACTCTGGGTGAGGGGGTGGGAGAAGCCTGTCGCAAACCGCAGCACCACCACGTAGCCCTTCCCGAAGTACCGGACCTTCTCCTCCTCCACGTTCACGTCCCTGATGTCGTTCAGCAGGACCACCACTGCAGGCGGGGGCAGGTCAGTGGCAGCGCCCATTGCCCGGCCTGCCCCTCCCACCTGTGTGCTGGGCACAGTCACTTCAGGACCACTCTGCAGAAGACCGCATCATGCTTGCCATGAAGCAGAAAGCGTCTATCACTCTGTGCCCCAGAAGACAGCCAAGACCCTGACCTTAGGTGGGTTGTGTGGTTAAAGTCAAGTCTAGGTGAGAAGAACATCCAATGGACCCATCATCGCCTTGAAAAACCTGCTCATTCTCTCACGAGCAGTCTAACACATCAGGGAACAGCTAAGCACAACACTGCCCATCTTTCTGCTTCATTTTCTCCAACAAATGCTTTCCTGGTCCCTAGTGGCTAGTCACTGAGCTGAGGGCTGCCCGGCAATTCTCTTCAGGCTAGAACATGTCTGGGGCACCCAGCATCCATGAGGCGGGACACAGCCCTAGTCACTGCGCAGCCACCTGGACCCAGCCATTTCCAGGCCTCAGGCCTAATCCCTACCATCACACAGACATTGGCCGCCCTGCATCCAGCCCGGAGTAACCAGCCTCCCAACAGCCACCACGCCCCGTGTCCTGGTCACTCCCCACACCTCACCTTGGTCGTGGCCTGCTCTGGAAAGAGTCAGCAGCTTTTTGTACAAGCTGAACGTCTTCAGCACAACCTTCCCAGTGCTCTTGTTGAAGACAGCTTCCTGGAAAACCAGCCAGAGGATGGTCACCCAGCTGTGTGCACACAGTGACCACATGCAAAGCTCCAGGGAGGGGCCCGGGCTTGCTGACTGCATCCCCACCCTTGCCAGAGCAGACACTCAAGAAGGGGATGGCCCCTCTTCCTCCCCACCCCAGTCAGGACCCTCAAGTGCTGCTCCACCAGAGCTGAACCCCTGCAACTGGGCCCTCTCAACAGGGGGGTGGGGGGTGTAAAGAGAAAGTGTGGCATCAAGGCAGACGCTCTCTCGTTTGTGAGTGAAAAAGAAGTACAGAGGCCAAGGTCACCAAACAAGGGAATGAAGGTCAGAGGTCGGAGAGCAGTGCTACGCCAAGTGGCTCAAAGCACTCAAGAAGGGGGGCCCCAGGGGAGGGTGCCAGCCACCGACGGGGTAAAGAATTGGGGTAAAAACAGTCACAAAGAGTTTCTAGGAGAAAAACAACTTCCGAGATTCCTTGGCCCAAGAACAGTCACAGACAGGCAATGTCCAGGGGCCAAGTCTACTAAGCTAAAGTTTCGGCAGGGGCCTGGGGCCTTTCTTCCTGCTGTGATTCCCACTGCACAGAAACCCAGGAGCCAGAACACCCAAGCACCCGAGCCTGTGGTGGCCTTACCTCCCAGTCCTCCAGGTTCTGCAAGGCCACGAACAGGCAGCCTGTGACATAGAAGAGCTTCCAACCCAGACTGTCTGGGAAGCAAACACAGGATGCGGCTGGGTGAGGGACAGCAGCAGAGGAGCGGAGGCTGATGTGCCCACAGGGGGTCCTTCCTCCCCAGCACGGCCACTTCCCAGACACGGGGCAAAGTGGCGTCTGGGGCCCGGTTGACTGCCCATGCCTGCAAGGACCCCCCGTCCGGGGCGGCCCCCACCACCCGGCACTGCTGGCCCTGCCTGTCACTCAGGACCACACATGGTATGCTCCACCAGCTCTGCCCGCAGCCCTCCTCCTGGGTGTCTACTCAAGACAGGCAATTGGGGCTGACCGGTCTCTGCTGATCACAGCATGCTCTGTGATGGTAGAAAGGCGGGAATGCTTACAGGGAATGGCTGAAAGCATGGCTCATCCCTGCCACAGAACCTTAGCAAACATGACAGAGCATGTTTCTGAAGAGTATTTTATGACATGGGAGAATGCTCGAGATATGAGAAGTGACCGAGGCTGCAAAGGATGAGCACACATGAGGAAGAATACACCAGCGCACAGAGGTGGGGTCTCTGCGAACCATCAGGAGGCAGAGGCACCAGCGATCCCAAAGACCCTGCCTTGGTGGGTCACAAATTACAAGTTTTCCTTCTTTTCTCTATTTTCAAAATAGCTGAGGAAGTTACTGGGGGGCAGATGATGCACCTCACCTCCACTGTAGTAGGCAGCAGCTAGGCCAATCGACAAGATTCCTGCAAAGAGAAAGCAGGCACCTTCTTATTGGGCCATTGCCAGCCCAGGGCCCACCTCCTCCCAGGAGCCCTGGGCAAGGAGGCCCTTCCCACCACCAGGGATGGCTGGGGTGGGGAGCAGGAGGAGAGAAGACCACCAGGCTCAGAAGTGGGGGAAGCAGCCAAGAAGTTTGTTCAGAAACATGGTATACACCATTCCCAGTATTCACTGGACACATCAGACTACACCAGGCTCCAGAGCTGACTGGGGAACCAGACAGTGGAGCCTGACATGGATTTAACCCCAAAAGCACGTGGTGTGGAATGAAGACAAGACTGTATGTAGAGTCACACAGCATGTGAGGTGGAACAAGCAGGAAGCCACGTGCAGGGTCACGGGAAGGACAGAGACAGAGACAGAAGGCACAGTGGCACCTCTCCTCATACCACTGGTCCAGTCGATACAGGGCAGCTGCCCTGAGGGTGCAGGACCCTCCCTGGGCAATGACCTTCCCCCACTTACTCCTCCCTGAGGAAGAGGAAAAATGGAACGCAGTGTCACCCACTGGGTGGTCCTGCAACATGAATCACTGACACCTGCAACCAGATGTGTGAAAGCAAGAAAAGGAGAAACACGGGGAGCTCAGAAGAGCATGCAGAGCATTAAGGAGAGAATGTTAACTGGTCAAAAAAGACAAGACAGACTCGCATCATCTGTAAATGGCATATAGGATAAGATCTGGAAGGATACAAAAAACAGAGTTGCTACATTTTGGGGTGGTAAAACAAAAGAAAAAAAACTTAGTTTCATTTTCATCTTTTTTTAAAGTTAGATTCTTAATTTTGTGGGAAACATGGAAATCCTTACCAACCAGCAGGGACCAGGACCTGATGCCCGGAGCCCTCTTCAGATGGAGGCGGGAGCTGGTACGCGTCTCCACCTGCATGTACATCCCTGGAACGTTCCAGCACCACTCTCAACAGGAGACCCTGGGGGCTGGGGAAGGGCAGACACACAGACAGCTGGAGTTCTCGAGCCACTGCCCACAGACAAGCACCCAGCTCCTCACCAGGAGAGGAAACTGGGGCTGGCCCACCAGTAAGGCCCACACAGGCTGCGGACCATAGTCTCTGTGGTCGGCCAAGTCACTTAATCTCCCAGGGACCCGTTCCTCTGTAAGGAGGAAGGCCCTTCTCTGCTCAGACTGACTGCACTGGGGCCACTCCCCTGCTCAGACTCAGAGCGGGAACAAGCATTCTCTCACCACCTGCCTGTCCTACCTAGAACCTCAATCTCTCAGAGACCATTAGCCCCCAGCAGCCTTCAAGCTTCAGGCACCCTACGAGAACCTACCAGAACGCCCTCATTTCCCTGTGCTGGCCTCCACCAAGAAAGGGAACTGAAAGTCTCATCGTGGTGTGAGTCTGTACTGGCATGGGAAGAGAAAGTCAGCTTTACGGTCTCCTACAGCTGCTGAGACGACAGGCCACACCCAGCGCGGGGTCCAGGAGGCCCAGGAGCATCAGCTGCACGAAAAGAGTCACCAAGGGGGACTGACCTCCCACAAGGAGAGTTCCGCCCTGCACTGCAAATCCCCCAAACACGGACTTCAGGGACCCGGCTCTGGGAGGTTTTCAGGTATCCTCTGTAAAGTCAGACTTCTAACAGTAAATAGTGGATTCGATCCACATACAGGAATCCCGGGTCTCGGTCCGCCACCGGGGTCCCTCCCTGACGTCACTCGTCTCCCTCTCCAAGCGCGTTGGAGCTGCCCGCGCGGGAGAGGTCACGCCGGGCACAGGCCTGAGCGAGGAGCGCCGGCCTGCGCTTGACCCCTCCGGCCGCCCCGCGCGCCCCGGCCCTCGGGGGTCACCCGCCCGGCGCCAAACCCGCTTCCCTGCCGCCCCAAGACAACGCGGGCCAAGGCCCGACACCGCGCTCCAGTAGGGCGGGTCTCAGGCCCGGGAGTACCCCCAGCCCGCCCCCACGGCGGCACGGCCCCGGGCGCCTACCGGCGAGCACAGGCGCGAATGCCGGGCGGACGCGACCTCGGGGTCGCGGGCAGCGGCGGAGGCCGCTGATTTCCGGGGTCAGGGACGGGACTGCTGACTTCCGGACCCGCGGGGGCGGCTGGGACCGCTGACTTCCGGGAATGGGCGCGGGATAGACGACTCCCGGACCCGGGAGGGCGGGGCATCCGCCAACTGGCTGGATTTGGGGGAGAGAACGGAGGGAAAGGGGTGGGGACAGCGCCGGCTTCTGGGATTGGGGCGGACCCATAGGGAGGATTTCCAGCAAGTTCCAGCACTGTAGCGTCAGGCGGTTTGTCTGCCATCTGGTGAGCCACAGCTAGTCCCCTCCAACGAGGTCTAGACCTCAGCCCAGGGTGCTCCATCTTAGTCCTGGGAGTGATGGTCACGCCTGGTTTCTTGCTATTCTTACATTCTTTGTAGTCCCATGTACTTCATAGTGGCCAAATCCCTCCTTGCTCCGATCCCGTTATAGTTAATAGTTCTTTGTGTTAAACTATCTCTGTTCAATTACCATGTGGCTTCTCTCTCCTGATTGGACCCTGTCAAATACATGGACCCTGTCAAATACATATAAGCACACAAAGGCGTGCTATGTGGCTATGAAAAAGGAATGAGGACTCTCTCTATATATTGCTATAGAGTCATCTGCAGTGTTGTTGAGTGAAAAAAGGAAAATGGAGAAAAGTGTGTACCTATACTATAGTTTAAGAAGGGGATACAGAGTGTAAATATATAAATACATATTGATATAAATAAAATATAGTGAGTTTGTTATGTATAGTAGAGTTAGCATTGTTAGTCTGAGACTAACACTAAATGTGTGTAATGTGAGACAATGCAAAGTATTTTATGTAGGTGCCACTGGGAACAAGGAATTTGAGCATGAGAGGAAGGAGTCACAGATGTAAGATCAAAGAGGTTAATAAATTAGAACCCTGTGTTCCTGGACTTGAATTAGAAGGACCAGTGTGACTTCATAATGTATTTTGTCTGTAAAATGTACGTTTCCAATGCTGTCCACTGAAAAGTCTTAGAAACAATGACCAATCCGGTAGCAATGAGCAATTCTAGTACCCATTTTGTGGTTTTTAAATACTAATTCCTACTAAAAGCTTCTTGGAGAAACGACTGATTTCAGGTCTGAAGCAATAAATGTACAAGGATACGTATCAAAAAGCAAAGAGATGCGGCCGGCCCAGTTGCATAATGGTTAAGTTTGTGCATTCCTTTTGGTGGCAGAGTTCACTGGTTCAGATCCTGGGTGCAGACCTACTCGCTGCTCATCAAGCCATGCTGAGGCGGCATCCCAAATAGAAGAGCTACAACTCTACAACTATGATACACAACTATGTACTGGGGCTTCGGGGAGGGGAAAAAAAAAAAGAAAAAGAGGAAGATTGGCAACAGATGTTAGCCCAGGGCCAATCTTCCTCAAGAAAAAAACAAAAACAAAAAAAGTAAAAAAAAAAAAAGGCAAAGAGACTATTAGTGTCTTGTCAAAGAATTTAGGAGCCTAACTGAAGAAAATCACATTGTCAAAAAAAGAAAAAGGATTTGAGCATCAATAAGAACAATAATTCAAATGAACTTGTGAGGCCATCTTGTTACACTAAATGGCCCCAGCCCCTCTTCCATGTGACTACTTGCTGCTCTGCACATACTCCAAAAAATTCACATGCTCTCCTGATTTATGGCGTCTGCTTATGTATGTACTCCCCAATAGCTTGACAAATTAAAAACTTTGTTCTGAGTTTCTCTCCAGGAACAGGCTGACCACAGGCAGGAAACACACCTACAAGGTATCCATCACAGCTGACAGAAGAATGGAACAATATGATGCCTGGAGCCCGTCATGCCTGGAGACCAACATCCCTGGACCCTCTCCTTACTACCCATTTTCCCTATATAACTGCTTTAAGATTCTATAATCTTTGAAGATGGGTTTTTGAGACATTAGTCACCTGTCTTCCAATTTGCCAGCTAATCTAATTAAACTTCATTTCTCTCTAACTCGTTGTGTTTAATTGGCCCAGATCATGGCGAGCAGAGTGAGTCCATTGCTCAGTATGAAACTGAAAATCCTCAGGTGTTTAAATCCATAGTTCATAATATGTTTTTAAATTCTTTGTTCACTTTCGGAGGATGCTGAGAAACAAATGGATTTTTGACCAGTTAATGAAAGGAAAGAATCAAGCATTTATCTTGCCTTTCTTTATAAAATTTACACAGAATAACTAAATAGTGGATGAGAGGAATTTCTCATTATAGAAGTATTCCTGCGAAAAAATGAAGAAGAAATGGTAGGATTAAAATATCACCCTATGGCTGGCCCTGTGGCTTAACAGTTAAGTCCACGCGCTCCACTGCTAGCAGCCCAGGTTCGGATCCCGGGCGCACACCGACATGCCGCTTCACCAGCCATGCTGAGGCCGCGTCCCACATACAGCAACTAGAAGGTGCAACTATGACATACAACTATCTACTGGGGCTTTGGGGGGAAAGTAAATAAATAATTATTAAAAATATCTATATATTTCACCCTAGGGGCCAGCCCTGTGGCTTAGCGGTTAAGTGTGTGTGCTCCTCTGCTGGCGGCCTGGGTTCCGATCCCAGGCGTGCACCGACACACCGCTTGTCAGGCCATGCTAAGGCGGCATCCCACATAAAGTGGAGGAAGATGGGCACAGATGTTAGCCCAGGACCAGTCTTCCTCAGCAAAAAGAGGAGGATTGGCACGAATGTTAGCTCAGGGCCGATCTTCCTCACAAAAAAAAAAAAATCACCCTAATGAGTGAATGGATCTGGCAAGTTCATCAATGGCTGTTAATTAACATCACAAAAAGGACAGTTTGGGGGCCAGCCTGGTGGCGTGTTGGTTAAGTGCGCGCGCTCCGCTGCGGCAGCCCTGGGTTTGCATCCTGGGCGTGCACTGACGCACTGCTTGCCAAGCCATGCTGTGGCAGCGTCCCATATAAAGTAGAGGAAGATGGGCATGGATGTTAGCCCAGGGCCAGTCTTCCTAAGCAAAAAAAGAGGAGGATTGGCAGATGTTAGCACAGGGCTGTTCTTCCTCACAAAAAAAAAAAAAGGACAGTTAGCTAGTAGTACCTCCTGATGGAATTATTCAACACCATCTATGATATAGTCTTGCCAAAAAAATTTAAGCTGTGATCAAACCACTAGACTGTTCTAACTACCCTTTACTGGAAATTCAGAGGACATGTAGACTAAAGTACTTCATAAGGATGCAATCAGCACTTGGGGGAAACCTTACAGGCAAACAACCAGATTTCTGTATGATGATATGCAAGAAGAAAGAGAGGGATGTGGATGGAACCTACAGATTAAAAAACAAAAAACAAACCCCTTAAGACCACGAACTCTCTGTACTATCTTTGCAACTTCTAACTGAGCCTCAAGTTATTTCAAAACAAAAAGTTTTTTTTAAAAAGAGAGACTTAAGAAACACACAAACCAATTGCAATATACTCTAATAGAACATATTGGACAGTATTTAGATCTTGATTTAAACTAAGAAAATGATGAGATGATTGGGGAGACCTGGACACAAAGTACATATGCAGCCAGGCACCTGAGGGCTACTGTAAATATTCAATAAGAACATGATTATCCTTTGACCTTGTTCCCAACACAGACACAAATGAAAAAAAGTTAATCTTGTTAATTTGCTGTTTTCTTTTTTAATCTGGGGATGACTCAAGGGTCACAAGGATTTATGAGCTTGTGTTGCAGAAGAAAAAGAATGCCTTCAAGGAAGTTATGATCACCAGATAACCAGCCTGCAGCTGCAGTTGATGCCCAGAAGTCTGACTGCCCAAGGGCTCAGCTGGAGCAAAAGAAACACCAATTTCCCGTTTCTCTGAAACTTCTCCTCCCAAGGCCCTTGGCTGCATAACACCTCCTGGTTTCTGTTTTTCTTAGGGCGGATTTGAGAGAACCTATCCTCCCACCTCATTTTGGCCAATTCGAATAAACCTTTCCCTACTTCCAAGCACCATGTCTCAGTGATTGGTTTATTGCCCATCGGGCACACAGACCCGAGCTTAAGAGGTGTGGTATCACATATTTAATGAAGTTAATTGTAATTTGCTTTTTTCACACATGATAATGGTATTGTGGTTATGTTTTAAAAGGTTAACACAAAATACAAATGACAACCTAAAATTATCCTCGTATTCATGCTGAAAATTGAAGATGTTTTCTGAAAAGTGTAGACATGGATTTGAGTAATGCAGAGGGTTAATCTGGCAGCCAATTAAGACTTCCTGAATCTAACTGAAGCATTTGTATAAAGCTATACAAAGCAAAAACTTTTTAAGGAAAAAAACTTAATGGGGAAAAACTTGAAGATCCTAGCGAGGTTCTGGCACCTAGAATAGCCTTAACTATTTTGTTGACCTCTGTGACCAAGCTTGAGGAGGGAGAACGGAAGGGTCTATTCCTGCAATTCCTGAGAACTGCTCATGTTTGATAAAGGCAAAGTCACCCACAAGTTGCTTTTCTTTTTTTGCATGTGTGAGAAAGACCAGCCCTGAGCTACCATCCGATGCCAATCCTCCTCTTTGTTGCTGAGGAAGACTGGCCCTGGGCTAACATCAGTGCCCATCTTCCTCTACTTTCATATGGGACACCGCCACAGCACGGCTTAACAAGTGGTGCCTCACTGCGGACTGGTGGACCCGGTACCCCCGACAGCGGAGCACGTGCACTTAACCGCTTGCACCACTGGGCCGGCCCCCACAAGTTGCTTTTCTTAGTTCCACTGAACTCTTCCAGGCAAGTCTCCCATTTCTGATCTTCCTGTAACCAGCATGCTCTGATTCTAGAAAATGTTTATAATTAACAGAGTTCAGCATTTCTTTGTCCCTGCAGGAGGCATCAGTTTCTTCCAGAAACATTTACTCTCCGTAAAGTGTAAGGGCCAGGTAAGAGGCAGGAGCGCACGTCGCCTTCCACAGCGTCCACTTCACACCCGCCCTCGTGCCCACGGCGTGCCACCAGGGCCCGGCTCCTGCGCGCCTGCGCACTGCCACCTCGCTCGGCCTACGTGACGCGCCTCGGGGCGGCAATGGCGGCGGGCCGGAGCGGCGCCGTCTCCGCTGGCCCGAGCCAGGAGGGAGGCGCGTGTCCAGCGGCGCCGAGCTGTCGGGCCTGAGCGCCCCGGCAGAACCCGGGCTCTCCCCTCTAGACGATGCTCTCGCTTGCTCCGCACCGCCGGCCAACCTGCGCGAAAACCCGCCCCAGCTTCCGCGGCGTCGGGATGGGGCGGCCCCCGCTCCGCCCCCGCGCGCTTCGAATGGCTCCGGGACCCGGCGCGCCCGTTCCCGGCGCTCCCATTGGCTTTGGCGGAGCCGTGTAAGGTGGAGCCGCACCGCCCTCTGCGTTCTCCTATTGGTTCAGGGGTGTGGCTCGCCCGTTGCCGGCACTCTTATTGGCCGGACAGAGCCGCTGGGGGTGGGGCTGCGCCGGGGACGACAACAAAGGGCGGCAGGCGGCTGGCGGCGGTGACTGTGGCTGCGTCTGCGTCTGCCGGTGTTTCGCTCAGTGCTGGTACCGTTGGCCGCCCGCCGCGCTCCAGATGAAGTGTGAGCACTGCACGCGGAAGGTGAGCCCCGCGTGTCCGAGCCGGCGCCGGGCCGTCGTTCCGGCCGGGATCGGGGCTGCCAGTTGACCGGGGACTGGGGTTAGGGGCCCGGGCTGGGGGCTGCACAGTGCTGGTCCCCAGAGCGCGCGGGCGGGAGCGTGGGCGGGCGCTGGGGCCGCACCACCATCCTGGGCCGGGTCGGCAGCTCGAGGTCCTCTGCCTCGGCGCCCCCTCGCTGACCTGAGACCTCGGGATTCTAAGACCCGGTGTCGTGTCCACCAGCGCCAGTGGGGCTTTTGATGGGTCGAGGAGGGCCGCAGGCCGGTGGTAAACTCGAGACGAGCCCCGGCGCGAACACCAGCCGCTGCTCCCAGGTGCGTGGCTCTCCTGCGGCCAGGTCGCCTTCCAGTTACCCTTGGGTTAACTGTGTTCGAGTACGGGCTGGGTCTTTTTAGTTCTCAGTGCTTTTGTCTGTCCTTTCAAAATAGCTTTGAAGCTAAGAAAAGCTAACCAATCTCTGTTACTACTCAGGGCAGTCACAGCAAACGCCATTCTCCATGTGAACGGTTGATACAACGGTGAAAAATGTTTTCCAGAAGTTTTTGTATTTTCTAAAAACTTACATGCTTATTATAGTAACAAAACAATGCAGAAGCGTGGGAAGGCAACGCGCAGGTCCTCCTCTCCACTTGGGTAACCAGGGTGACTGTGATAGCCCTGCACCCTTGCTTCTAGGCTGTCATAATCACACGGTGCATGCATACGGGCTTTTGTTTGTTTTTCCAAGAATTGGATCATATCAAGTATTCCATGGCCCTTTCTCTTTTACTTAACATTGTACAGGAGATAGCTTTTCAGAGCATTGGATATAGTTCTGGTTCACTGTGTTTTGAGTATACATGTGTCCAGGTAGTAGGGCAGTAATTTACCTGTTGATGGAAGGACACATTGCTTCTAGTTTTCACTTGCAAACAGTACAGATATGGGAGGGCGGCGGGAAGGGGGGGTGTCCACAAATACTGGTGCTTATATTTCTGTAGAAGAAATTCCTAGACACAGTTAATTGACTAGACAGTATGTAAATTTTTTTGGTTGAGTCAGATTAAAAGTTATTTTATATGTTCCTTTGCTTTTTTCAAGGAATGTAGTAAAAAAACGAAAACTGATGGCCAAGAGAATGCATCAGTCGATGTACCAAGGCTGGCCCAGGAGAAGAGAGAGGCAAGTAGATTTTTCAGTTCTCTATCAGCCTGGAGTAAATGGCTGCCGCTGTTTTTCTCCTCTTTGGGGGCTCGTGTCACCGTGCACATCGTTGCTCTAAGAAAGAAGTGAGAGATGAAGGGCTAAAGCAGTGCCCGTGCCAGGGGCCAGACACATGCAGGTCAGTCGGTCAAAGGCACATAACCTTCAAGGTAAGACTAGTCATGTGTTAGGAATAGTGCTGTAATATTTAAACCTACAATTTGTTTCTGATGAAAAGTTCTGTTCTGTAAAATGGGGTTTTAAGTAGGTAATTTATAAAATAATCCAAATCTCATGATTCTGTAGGTTTATTTTTCTAGTGGTTTTTTTTCTTTTTTTTTTTTTTTTAAAGATTTTATTTATTTATTTTTCCCCCAAAGCCCCAGTACATAGTTGTCTGTCATAGCTGCACATCCTTCTAGTTGCTGTATGTGGGATGCGGCCCCAGCATGGCCGGAGGAGTGGTGCCTCGGTGCGCACCCGGGATCCGAACCCGGGCCGCCGGCAGCGGAGAGCACGCACTCAACCGCTAAGCCACGGGGCCGGCCCTCTAGTGGTTTTTTTTCTGACTCAGTTCTTGAGTTTATAAGTCCTCCTTAGCCAGTAGTGATGGTTTTTGTTTATTGGGTACATACCTTGAACTGGGCGCTGGAGGAAGTACTTTTCTACATGTGATCTCATTTCATGCTCAGAACAAGCATTTCAAGTCAGCCTTCCTCTTGTCCCCGTTTTACAGAGAGAAGGCTCTGGTTGAGGGAGGTTAAGGTTCCTTCTTCCTTTAGGAGGTACTGGTACTGATTTTACAAATGGAAAATTGGCAAGTTGCAAGTTTTCTTTTTATTTTAGTCCTAATGTGATGCTTAGCCTGCCAGGCGTTGGCCGGGTTCCCCGGTGTACCAGCAGTGCTCTGTGCTCTGGCAACTGCAGGGCTTAGCAAGCAAGCAGCAGGGGACAAGACAAGCACCCAGGGTGACTGGGGCCTCCCATGCCTGCCCTCTGGCTGCAGCACCTTGGCCGGACACCTAACCCTGGGAGCCCCAGGTCTCTTATCAGTGACGTAGGGAGTTGGGTTACTTCTCTCCCAGGGCTGTGGTGAGGGTGAGATAACATGTGTACACTGCCTAGGTGGACGCCCTGCCAGCACAGTGGGTGGACACCCTGTTAGGATGAGCAGGTCAGGGAAGAGGCTCCTGGAGTGGGCCCTGAGGGTTGGTGAGCGTTGAGGGTGCACGGGGAGAGGCGGTGGGAGCCACTGAGGCTGTCTGCGCAAGGAGGTAGATCAGATGTGTTCTTCAGGGCAGGTAACGGAGGCAGCTGGCTTAAGCTGGCTGGAGCAGGGGGAGAATGGAAGGAAACCACTTGGGAAACAGAGAGTGAGGGGGCCAGCCAGAGTGGCAGAAGCAGGAAAGAGCGTGCAGTGTGGGGAGCTGAGTGCAGTTTGAGCTCCGTTGACACTGAACTTTGCAGGATGTCCGTCTGGAGCTTGGGAGGGAGAGAGCTCCCCTGGAGGCAGGGATTGGAGACGTGCTGGGTAGGGGGTGCTGGCAGCCAGGCAACCATTCTGGAAAGTGGGGCTGATTGGAGAGAAGGGGCGGTGGGCAGGTTTCTGCAGAACGAGTGTGTTTAGGAGGCAGGAGGAGAAAGAGGAAGGAATGTGAGGGGTGAGAAGGCACCAGACCTGGCCCGTGAGAGCCTGCAGAAGAAAGGACTGGGTGATGCAGAGCAGGCCTGGCAGCAGGCCAAGAGGAAGCCCTGCTGGGTGCAGCAGTGCAGAGTGGTTGTGGGCACTCTGCAGGGGCAGTGGAGTCAGGCTTCTCAGTGCAGGTCAGCAGTATGCTAGGCACCAGCTATTTGCCAGGCCGCGTGCTCCAGACCCATGGAGCAGCAGCTCTGGCCCCACCTGGGAACTTGTTAGAAGTGCGAACTCTTGGGCCCCGTTCAGACATCCTGAATGTGGATCTGCAATGGCACGAGGTCCCAGGGCGAGCGCTGCACAGTGACACTCGGGCATGTGGCGATGAGGGAGGTGACAGCATGTGCTCCTGTTTAGAGGTGCTGTGGATGGGAGAGCCCACCCAGAGCCACCTCTTACCAAATCATGTTTGAAAGAAATGCACAGCTGTCAGGAGCTTTCATCAGTTTGTTGAAATGGCTCCAGTAGGCTTTAGAATGTTTATACATTCATCCACCAAATATTTATTGAGCACCTTCTGTATGTGGGGCCTCTTGGAGGTGCCAGGAAACAAGACAAGGTTCCCACCCTCAGAGCTGGCATTCTCACCGAGGAGAGACAACACATAAGTGCCAGGTGGTGCCTGGTGCTGTTCCAGTGTCTGCGAGGGCCGAGGGGTGAGCCTGGGCATTTCCTGCGAGAGGAGACCCAGAGCAGCAAGGGCCAGTGTGGCTGGAAGTGAGAGCCAGGGACAGTGACAGGGCCAAGGGCCACAGGCTGTCGAGGACCTCTGAGCAGAGGAGGTGTGGCTTGTGTTCTAGCAGACCTCTGCCACTGAGGGGAGGGGGCTGCAGCGGGCGAGCAAGGCACGGGTGCCAGTCGGGAGAGGACGCATACCAGGGTGGCTGTGGTCTGAGTATCCAGGTGAGCGGAGTTGCTTTTACTGAGGCACAGGCTTGGGCGTCCACAGCTCAGTGTTGAGTGGTGTGAGGACCCTGTTGCACATGGAGTGCCAGAGCCAGCAGTGAGCTATGCCAGTTTTGAGCCTCAGGGGGAGGAGAAGACCACAGGCTTCCATGGGGAGCTGTGGGGCTGAGGGAGCTCACCTGGGGAGTGCAGAGTAGGCTAAGAGAAGGAGCCCCCAAAGGCGACAGAGGAGGGGATGTAGGGAGGAGGAGAAGGGCTGAGCCAGCTCCCAGGACACAAGAATCGAGTTCTCCTCCTACCACGTGACAGTGCTGGCCTGCTCCCACCCTGCATTGTCATTTGTGTGACGCCCTGATATCATGGACTGAGACCCGTGCCCTGTTCCTCCAGCACCTGGAGCACCAGGCCTGGCCCTGGGGTCGTCGAGGGTGATTGATGTCAGTTTTCTATATAGCGTTGATGTTGTTATTCTCCTTAAAGAAGTGTGTGTTAAAGACTTTTTTTTCAAGAATCAGGCCAAATCATCTTTCTTTTGTAGAAAGGAGAATTCCATAAGTTGGCTGATGCCAGGATATTTCTGAGTGACTGCTTGGCGTGTGACAGCTGTGTGACTGCAGAGGAAGGAGTCCAGGTTTCCCAGCAGAACGCCAAAGACTTCTTCCGCGTTCTGAACCTTAATAAGGTACGGTGGCTGGGGTGCTTGCTGGCGCCTGGGCCGGGGTAGGCAGGTGGAGGTTGTTGAGAGGCACAGCAGCCTCTGCTGGGACAGCAGGTTTATGTCTTGGTCCTGGCACTCTGTCCTCTGCCGGAATCAACCCTCTCTAGAGCTTCTCCCCATTGGAACCAAATCCCTGTCCAGAGTCACGCTCCCTCACTGACTCGGGCCATGGCTGTGGCCAGCACCACTGACCAGGCTCCTCCAGCTTGGGGAAGCCTCTGCCATGCAAGGTCAGCTAGCATAGCTGCCCAAGGTCACCGGATGGTACTGGGGCTGAGCTGACACAATTCTGCCTTTGGGGCATTCTCAGAGGCGGGGGCAAGGCTAGGCACCTTCGGATTGTCCCTGAAGACCTCCTCCACAGAACTACCTGGTGTTGCGGGCTTCCAGCAATGGCTTTCCTGAAGGGAAAGAAAGGAAAGACAAGGCAGATGAGGCTGAAAAGCACATCTTGGTTTGCCCTCGCTCTCACGATGCTTCTCAGCCAGCATCCCGTTCCCTGTTCTGCACAGGGCATCAGAGCTCTGACCCCCACAGCAGTGCAGGTGCTGCATGAAGCCCTCATTGAGATCTAGGTACTACATGGTGTGCCAGGACGAGGCAGAATTCCTGAGAAACACTGGCTTATTGTGTTTCTGTAAACACTGGTTTTCTGTTTCCGGTTTCTGCTGCGACGCAGAGGACAGAGCCCATCGGACTTCTCAGTGTTTGCCACCCACCCCCATGGCATGTTCTTGGATACATCATCCAGCATTTTTAGGTCACAGTTTAAGATGGAAATATATGTCTTTCTGTTGTCAGCATTGTGTCTGGGTGTGCCTTTCCTGGTGTGCAGGTACCTGGGCAGTCCATGAGCAAGGAGCAGGATGGAAGCTGAATCAGGAGACCCTCACCTGTCGGCCACGGTCACTGTGCATGTCCATCCCCACCTGCTCGCCCTCGTCCTTCTGGAATGAAATGTCTTTAGCTGTTTTATTAGATTGAACAAACTCAGCTCAATTATGACAGAGCTTACTTTCCCCTGGTACGACCACTGACTTCTAATTCTGTAGTGTCAGTGGTTTATGCCAGAATGCTCTTAAAAGCAGCTGTATCCCTTTATTCTCCCACAAGTGATAGATGAGAATACCCGTGTCCAGCTATCCTGACCACACTTGATATCAAATTCTTGAAGGTTTTCCAGTCTGATGGGTAGAAAATATCTCATTTGCGTTTTCTTGATTATTAGTGAGGCTGAAGATCTTTGACATGTTTATTGACAGTTTATATTTTATGCTGCCTGTTTATAGTCTATATTAGTTCAAAATTGCATTCAGCTGCTAGTAACAAAACCCTGGCCATAGGCATTGAACAACTTGGAGGGTTATTCTGTCACATAGAGAAGTCCAGAGGTAAGTTGGCCCTGGGAGGCCACCCAGGACCTGGGTTCCTGGTGCCCTGCTCAGCGTCTTCAGCCTCTAGGCCCAGTATCTTGTCACACGCCCTGCAGATATTTTCTCCCAGGTTCTCACTTGTCTCCTAGTGCTTGTGTCTGTCGCCTGACACACATGAGTTGTTTGATTTCATGAAACTATGTAGAATTCGGTCTTTCCCTTACTAGTTTTTAATTTATATTTTTAAAAGAAAGTCTTTCTTACTGTAGGACATACAGTTTATTATGTTTTATTTTAATGATTTTAAAGTTTTGTTTTTGAACATTCTACAGTTTCTATTTTAGCGTGGTGTGAGGTTAGAATCTGTTTTTCTCCATTTGAAAAAGCCAGTTACCCCAGCATCTTCCACCCTTCCTTGGTCTGAACTGCCACCTCCATCATAAACCAGATTCCCAGAGATGTGAGTCTATTTCTTGATTCTTTTATCTTCTCTTAGTGTTTTGTCTCTCCTATGCTGGTACCACACTATTTTGATTGAAATGGTTCTATATTGGGTCCTAATATCTGGTCCAGCCCATCTTTCTCTTGTTCTGCTTTTTCAAAATTTTCTTTGCTGATCTTACATTATTCTATATTAATTCTGGGATTTTGACTGGAATTGCATTGACTTTATAGGTTAATTTGGGGGGAAATTATGTTTTACCATATAGAGTCTTTTTATCCCTGAATGTGGTGTCTCTCTCCATTATTGTGTGTGACCTGAAGGTCTGTAATTTTCCCCATAAATTTTTGTCGGGTTATTCCTCAGTTCTCTGTACCTGTAATTTGTTTTTGATGTGATTGGGATTTTATTGTTTTATTAAATATACTATATTTTAGGGGCCAGCCCGGTGGCCGGTTAAGTGCGTGCGCTCTGCTGCGGCAGCCCAGGGTTTGCCAGTTTGGATTCCGGGCGTGCACCAACACACTGCTTGGCAAGCCATGCTGTGGCGGCGTCCCATATAAAGTGGAGGAAGATGGGCACGGTGTTAGCCCAGGGCCAGCCTTCCTCAGCAAAAAAAGAGGAGGATTGGCAGATGTTAGCACAGGGCTGATCTCCTCGCACACACACAATATATATATATATATACACACTACATTTTATTCTACCACATTCTATAATGTTGATTATTGTCAGTGTGTTGGAAAGCTATTGATTTTCATGTCTGTTTTGCACATGGTTATTTTGTAAACTTAATATTCTAATCATTTCCTAGATTATCTTAGGTTTTCTAGGTTTAGTGACTGCAAGTAACAAATTTTATCTCTTCCAACCTGTATACCTCTTATTTCTTTTTTTGATTATATTGTCTAGGACCTTTTAAATCAGTCTCAAGTAACAGTGGTGATAAATGGTACTGATGTCTTGTTTCAGACTTCAGTGGAAACGCTTATAAAATTTTATTATGAAATAGGTATTTGCAGAAACGTCTGGTAGATACCCATATCAGTCAGCATTTCAGCTGCAGATGTTGGGCACTCAACTTAAACTGGCATAAGCAATAAGGAAATGGTTGTTTCATGAAACTAAAAGCTTACGAGTAAGAGGTTCTGGGTTGATTGAGGCAGCCACTCAGGGAAAAAGCAGTTTCTGTTTCTCAGCCCTGCCGCCCTTGGCCCTGGGCTCAGGCTGATCTCCTGGTCACAAACTGGCTCCCTCAGAGGAGGTGACATTTGAGTGAGAATGAAGTGAGGAGTGAGCCCTGGAAATACCCCAGGCAGGGCATCAGGCAGAGGGACAGGATGTGCTGAGTCTGGCTCCTGAAGTTGGGGGCAGACCACCTTCTGCCCTACCTACTCCATCAGCATTTGGGACTCACACCCCAATTCCTGCTTCCAGCTTTATCTTAGGATGCTGTCAGCCACAAATTGCAGAAACTGTGTCCGGCTGGTGTGAGCATCATAGGAATTTGTGAGGGCTTGCTCCGGGTTGGCACCCTGATGGCATTGTCGGCTGGGGCTTCGCAGGTGTCATTTGAAGGCAGGATCCCATCCAGAGGGGACAGGTGGCCTCACTTTCCCACGTGAGCCTAGGCCTGCACCACCACCCCCGGCTGTGTCACATGGGGTCACGGTGACTGGACCAGACCAGTCCTCAGGTAGACCTCGGTGGGAGGTCGCTGCTGAATCCTGAATCCTGCTGTTCAGGTTTCCACTTGTCCTGATCTGACCTGAAGGGCCACTGCAGGAGAATCCTGTGTCTTCTCTAATCTCCAGGTTAGCAGTCACACACACTGTGACTGTGACTTTCTAGCACAGGACATCCTTGCTCATGTTGCTTTCCTGGGTTACATCCCGTGTGTCTGTGATGAGTCCACGCTTCTGAACTCAATTTGTTCCTATTTTTATAGTGATTTCTTGAGCTGCCAGTGTCTAGTTTTGGTTTCAGGTTGTCGATAGACTTGTGGTTTCATGCTTGTTTGTATGGTATTTTTTAGAACAGTTTATAGAAGGTGAGAATTATCCGCTCCTTAAAAATTTGCTAAAATTTGGCACTAACTGTCCTGGGCTTGAGACCTCTGAGGGGACAGATCTCTGGATGCCATTTCAGGGTGTGTGTGTGTTTTTTAATTGAAATATGTTTGTGTATTTTTTTATTGTTTTTGGATCATTTTGGTTATTTATGGGCCAATATTGTAATTTATGTTTTTCCTTTAAAGTTATTCACTTATCGATATAATAGTGTTTTTAAAATTGAGAAACTCTCAGGCTGGCCCCGTGGCTTAGCGGTTGGGTGCACGCGCTCCACTGCTGGCGGCCCGGGTTCGGATCCCGGGCCTGCACCCACGCACCGCTTGTCCAGCCATGCTGGGGCCGCGTCCGGAATACAGCAATTAGAAGGATGTGCAGCTATGACATACGGCTATCTACTGGGGCTTTGGGGGGAAAAAAATAATAATAATAAAAATAAATAAATTTAATAAAATAAAATAAAATTGAGAAACTCTCGTGGGATGTCCCACTTTTTAATCCTAATTTTTTTTCTTAATTCTGCTTGCTGGTGTTTGTCTAAGTCTTTTTTTTTTTTTTTTGTGAGGAAGATCGGCCCTGAGCTAACATCTGCCAATCCTCCTCTTTTTAAGCTGAGGAAGACTGGCCCTGGGCTAACATCCATGCCCATCTTCCTCCACTTTACATGGGACGCCACCACAGCATGGCTTGACAAGCGGTGCGTCGGTGCGTGCCCGGGATCCGCACCGGGATCCGCACCGGCGAACCCCGGGCCGCCGCAGCGGAGTGTGCGCACTTAACCGCTTGCACCACCGGGCGGGCCCTGTCTAAGTCTTTTTGAAGAGCATTTGTTACCTTCTCTTGGTTCTGGATTTTTCACTGTCTTACTTTCATTCCTTGTGTAGTCACTAGGTCTGACATCCTTCTCTGTTTCTCCTAGAAATGTGATACCTCAGAGCACAAGGTGTTGGCAGTGTCGGTGTGTCCTCAGTCTCTGCCTTATTTTGCTGCTAAATTCAGCCTCAGTGTGACTGATGCATCCCGAAGACTCTGTGGCTTCCTCAAAAGTCTTGGTGAGGTGCCTTTGATGTTATTGTGAATTTATAACTTGAGTTTATAGGGCCGGCACCGCGGCTTAGCAGTTAGGTGTGCGCGCTCCGCTACCGGTGGCCCGGGTTCGGACCCCGGGCGCGCACCGACGCACCGCTTCTCCGGTCATGCTGAGGCCACGTCCCACATACAACAACTAGATGGGTGTGCAACTATGACATACAACTATCTACTGGGGCTTTGGGGAAAAAAAGGAGGAGGATTGGCAATAGATGTTAGCTCAGAGCCGGTCTTCCTCAGCAAAAAGAGGAGGATTAGCATGGGTGTTAACATGCTCAGGGCTGATCTTCCTCACAAAAAAAAAGAGTTTATAACCGCCCTTTATCTCTAGAATTCTATTTTGAGGGGCACAGGGTAAATAAGAACTTCCATGAGAGTCTCCTGGAACGTAAGAGGACCCTGCCTCTGACCCGTGGAGACGGGTGTCATTTACCCCCTTGCCATGCAGACAGGTATTTTGTTACAGCCGGGCTGGCCCCTTCAGGAGTGGCAAGTGACCACCTGCTGACAGGGTGGTGGGGGACACCTGGGAGGCCTCTGTACTTGCTGAGCAGTGTCATGTCACCCTGGCTCATGGGGGCCTTGGAGGGTGTTTATTTGATGGAGAATCATGTGTGAAATGATTGGCATCTGGTTGTCTCAGAAGCTCTCTGAAGAGCAGAGCAGGAAAGGAATGGGCTATGTCTTTGGCGTGAAGAATGAAAGGTAGTCATTTCAGAACACAATCAAAGGACTCAAAAGCAAATGAACACTGAAATGATGCTGCCTCAAATAGCAATAAGAAAGCTTCTTTTTTTTTTTTTTTGTGAGGATGATCAGCCGTGAGCTAACATCTGATGTCAATCCGTGCCCATCTTCCTCCACTTTATATGGGACGCCGCCACAGCATGGCCTGACAAGCTATGCGTCAGTGCCCAGGATCCGAACCTGCGAACTCTGGACCGCCCCAGCAGAGCGCACGCTCTTAACCGCTAGCGCCACCGGGCGGCCCGGAAAGCTTCTGTATCCTCTGTTGTCAGACAAGAACTACCCCTCACCCCCAGTGGAGTTCTCATAGCCTGGGCATCTGCATGCATGGCCATCAACAAGAGAAGAACTTGAGCTATTTCCCAAATAAGAGTTTTTAGTTTTCCACAATGGCTTTTTAAAGACATCAGTACATTGGGGATTACTCATAAGATGACACTTAGAGTAAACATGGTCAGTACCAGCCTGCCAGCCTTGCTGCTCCTTGGCACTCGTGGTACCGGGCAGTTTCTCAGCGCATGACGTGCTACAGCCAAAACTAAGCCACAGCTACAAGCCTGGACTCATAAAATTATTCCTTCATGCTTTTAGTCTTAAAAAGCCTAAGGTTGGGCTAGTTTAGCCAAAGTTATTAGGTGCTATATCTTCTCATAGTGAAAGGCCCTGTTTTAGGGGAAGATTTTTAAAAAATAAATAGTTGGGAATTATACATTAATATTAATAAAGAAAATATATCCACAGTGAAACTGATTTCTTAAGGTAATACTTTAAGATTATACTTATAACATTTATAATATTTCTTTTCAAGAATAACTGGATGGGCTTTTAAGATTTAGACTGGCTGCAGATATTAAAGTTATTTGCTTAATTTATTTTATTATGATTATTGAAAGTACATTCTTTCTTTTCAGGCTTATTTACCGATATTAAAAAAATTTATTTAAAAAAAGATAGTTAAAAATCAACATAAAAATTAAGACTATCATAGTGGCATGCTCAGATAATTTACTCATTTTATTTTTTTTTTTAAAGATATCAAGGACTGTCACAGGCTGAAATTTAATTTAGGCAGTGAATTGGAAGCGAATGCTACTGATAACTTAAAATATTCTATTAATTTATGTATGGAGTACTGTAAGTTATATAAATATAGATATAGAGAGAAAAAGAGGAAGAACGAACAACATATTTTGTGAAAAATGATACATACTATTGTTTAAAAAAAAAAAAGGTAAAGTGCACAGTCCTGTACTTAGGTGCAGTCTGTGGTAGAGAAGTACCGGGGTGATGGAACTAGCTCAGGAGGGTACCTGGCACATCTGCTCTTCACGTGTGTCTCCTAGAGTCTCCAGACTCTGAGAGGAGAGCCCGTACTACGTGACGTGAGGCTGAACGCACCCCTCTCTCCTGCAGGGGTGCACTACGTCTTTGTTACAACAATTGCTGCAGACTTCAGCATTCTGGAGAGTCAGAAAGAGTTTGTGCGTCGCTACCACCAGCACAGCAAGGGAGAGCCGGCCTTACCCATGCTGACCTCTGCCTGTCCAGGTGAGCGCCCAGGGCCGGCACTGCCTCCTTAGCCTGGGGCGACCTTTCCCAGGGTCTACGTTTGGGGGCAGGCTGGGCAGTGGACGAGGTCGGAGGTCAGTGGGCCTCATAGACCAGGAGGGAGGAGTTTGGGCCTGATACACAGTTTTATGTCGACCAACATATTCATTAATTCTGGTTGGTATGATGGAGGAGATCTGACAGCTGAGTGTTAATTTCTTATTTTCATTTGTCCATATTTCTAAAGTTTCTGAGACAATCATTATGTGTTAAGAAAAGTAAATCTGTTTTCTCTTAAAAGTATGACATATTTCAGACATCCAAATAATTACAGATAATAATGTGGCAATACTCATGTATCTTTTGCCAGCTTAAGTAAAAATTGCAGAATTAAAAAATTTCTTTACATGATACTCAGATTCTATCCAGGAGCACTTTTTAAACCAGTCTTAATTAGTGTAATGTGTCTGGTGCCTCGGGTATAGAGAAGATTTATCATAGGCTTTTTAATTCTGGAAAAATAGAAGGTTTAGGAATGAGAAAATGTTTAAAGATGATGCCTAAAGGAACAAGGAAGGAAGTACTGTACTGGTAAATGACATTTAGTGAAGAACTTCTAAACATATCAGATCTGTGAGAGCATAGGAAAGCTACACTGTCCAAGATAGTTGTGGGCTATGTAGGTTTTAGGTTTTTGTTCATGTTTCTATTCTCAGTTTATCCCCGTTTCCCCACCATGGTTCCCTATTTTTCTAGCATTTTACACGTCACCCATCAATCATTAGGATTATGCTTTAATAAAATAGAATGTTGACATTATTATTGCTTAGAATTTAGAAATACTTACCACCCACTTATAAAACCATGAAGAGGAAATTCGCCATCTGTCCAGGAGGCCACATGGGTTGACTCATTAACTGAGCTGTGTCATTCACCAGCCCACGGCCTGGTGGATGTGCTTTGCTTCAGGTGGGGCTTGTTTCCAGCATATGGTTTGTTTTCCTAGAAAAATGACTCACAAATGGATGCTCCCAGCTCTCCTGGTCTTGGAAGGCAGTTTCTGTATACAAAGTCTAAGAAAAAACCTTTTGACTCTACATGCAGATTTGCTGTGGTGTCTGCTTCAGGGTTTATCTCATTGTAGGTGTTTGTGCAGGTGCCATTGGGTACATGTGCACAGCCACGGGCTCGGGGAACCTCCTGGTTCTCTAAGTGACCTTTGGAGGTGTACCTGGTGTTCGTGTGGTGACCCTGCTTCTGGGGTCCCAGCGCCAGGTCTGAGTGCTCTCCTCTGGGGCCCATCACTCGATGCCACATGCAGCCAGTCACTGTGGCTCAGTCCTGCGCAGCCAAGGAAGAGGCAGCATAAAATAACCCAAACTAGACCCGTGTCCCTGGAGCAGTGGTTTCTAGACTTTCTGCCCCCGTTCCTGGCAGCAGAATGGACAGGAATTCCTGTGCTCTCCTGATACTAAACCAGCAGGTATCGACGGATTCCTTACGTGAGAGGCCCTGTTGAGATGGAACCTAGGATGGAAGCCTCCACTAACTGGTAGGAACTAACACTGCTGATGTGGGTAATAAGTGGGTGGTTGATTCCTGTGGAAACCAGTGAGTCCTCCGCCTACAGAGCCATCACAGTGCTGGTGGAAACCCCAGGAGGTCCGCCACAGAGCCTGTCTCCTCACTTGGTCCCATCTCCTGCTGCAGACCAGCTGCTCCTGTCTCATCCGGCCTGAGATTTGCTGCATTCAGTGGTCTCTCTGAGTTGTTCAGGGCTGTTTACGGTAGTCCCCCCTTATCTGCGGGGGATACGTTCCAAGACCCCCAGGATGCCTGAAACTGCAGATAGTACCGAACCCTATATGTACTGTGTTTCTTTCCTGTACATCCATACCTATGATAAAGTTTAGTTTATAAATTAGACACAGTAAGAGATTAACAACAATAACTAATAATAAAATAGAACTATTACAGCAACATACTGGAATAAAAGTTACTGTAGATCTTGGCAACCTCAGCATACAATTTTTTTTTCTTTCCTTATTAAGTCAAGAACTTTCACCTTTTCACTTAAAGGAAGCACTTTACGGCTTCGCTTTGGCATATCTGAATTGCCAGCATCACAACTCTTGTGCTTTGGGGCCATTATGAAGTAAAATAAGGGTGACTTGAACACAAGCACTGTGATGCCAGGACAGTTGATCTGTTAACTGAGATGGCTACTAAGTGACTAATGGACAGGTAGTGTATATGGTGTGGATCTGCTGGACAAAGGGATGATTGACGTCCCGAGTGGGATGGTGCAAGATTTCATCACGGTACTCGGAACAGTGTGCAACTAAAACTTATGGATTGTTTATTTCTGAAACTTTCCAGTTAATATTTTCAGCCCAAGGTTGACCACAGGTAACTGAAACCTCAGAAAGTGAAACTGTGGAGAAGGGGGCAATACTGTACTTGTAGGTTTGGAGCTTCTAGAATGTTTTTCCTAGGTAATGATGCATTTTCCTCCTGGAGTTCTTTATACCTAAGCATGTCAAAACTGTAACTGTTGTTCAGGTTTATACTACTTCTCAAATTCAAGAAGATGAGGTGAGATCTGGTTCAAAACTACATATTTTCTATAATTTGGCATTGTCATATTTGCTTCCTTATGCAAACTTAAGGAGATTAAAGCAACACCCAGGTCAGATGATTTGACTTGGCATGTGGAATTGGGGCTGTGGGCTGTCCTGTGCTGGCTCACTGGCACAGCTTCCTCACCTGGATCCCTACATCCTGGGGTGCAGGGCCCACCACCACCTGGTGCTGCTCCCTTGGACTGATTGGAGAGTGGTGTGTCCAGGCCACGACTGAGATGTCTAGGTAGCCCTTGCTACCCACAAACCCATGGAATGCCACCCTGCTGGGTGCACCGTTGCCCAGGCCCAGCAGAGGAAAGGGACTTTTTTTTGTTGTTGCTAAAGAAGATTCACCCTGAGCTAACATCTGTTGCCAATCTTCCTCTTTGTGTGTGTGTGTGTGTGTGGTTGTGAGCCACCGCCACAGCATGGCCACTGACAGACGGTGTGGTTCTGCGCCTGGGAACCGAACCTGGGCCACCAAAGCGGAGCGTGCTGAACTTTAACCCCTAGGCCACTGGGGCTGGCCTGGAAGGGGACCTTTAAGCTGCTCCACTTCTGGACATAGCTCGCAGGCCTTGAGGGGCTTTGAGAATCTTGCAGTTTTCTCCTGCCCCCCCCCCCCAGCACTCTGAGTATAATTATAGAAAGTAATCTTTTCAACCCCAATACCGTGTCTGGAGAGCGACCTTCCTGGAGAGTGCCCTTCCACCAGAGATGGTCACTGAGAAGAGGTGGGTGGCCACATGGGAAGTGCCAGCACCCACAGATTTGGATGTGGGAGCCAGCAGGGCTGACGAGGCCACAGGCCAGCATCTTTGCCCCCATCCAGTGCTCAGCCACGAGTTCCTGATCAAAGGTGTCCTTGGGAAGGTGCTAGTCTGTCTGGCTTCAGGTGCTGGGGAGCCGTGGGCCCTGGGATCCCAGTTCCTCCTCCTTGTCCCTGCTCTGCCCTCTTCCACCCTGGCCAGGAGGTCCTCCATGGGCCCTGGCTCCTGCCTCCTGCATTTTACCAATCTTGTGCAGTTCCCATGGCCTCAAAGCCTTCACAGCATGCAGCAAGCTCTCCCACAGCACAAAGATGCAGTCTGCCTGAGAGAGCATCTGGAGGAGCTGGCACTGGTGCTGAGACCAGGGTGGGTGGGGCCTTACAAGTTGCCCGTGGACCCCCAAATGCTGCATTGTTTTTGGTGGTTTTTCTTTTAACATAAACCATCGCATGCACACATGCAGAGGCTGAGGACAAGGGGAGCACTCTTCTAGCAGCACTTCTCCTAGGGCTTCTGTGGGTCACCATGGACGTTTCCCAAGCACGCTCAGGCCTGCATGCAGTTGACAGCTGTGGTTTGAGAGTTTGTTCAGATGGGATTGTCTGTCTGACTGGTGCCTGCTGCTCCTCCCTGCCAGGAGTGGACACAGGGAGGCGGCTTTCCCCAGGGGTCTGGCAGGCAGCTTGTCACCAGGCTTCTGCACCACCCCATCGGGATGCTGTGGTGTGCACACCTGTCTGTGGGGTCAGCAGGTGTCACCAGATGCTCTCCTCACCAGGCTGTGCCCAGTGGGACAAGAGAGCAAGCCGTGATTCCTGTTAGTCAAGCTGCTGGCTCTGTTGTCTGCTGACCTCTCTTGACCTGTGTCCACCCCTGGAGACCACAACAGCAGCAGTGCCCCCAACAGGGCACAGTGGGAGTCAGTGACTCAGGGGAAATTCTTGGAACCATGCTGGGCCCGTAGTGGGCATAATGCAAATTGTGCTGTTGATAGTTTATCATTGAGGAGTATGCATTTCTCATATTTCATTGCCCTAAAAAGTGGGCAGTTGTCATGCTATTAATTTCCACTAGGTAAGTGAAACTGGGTGGGCTGTGTGGCTGTCAGGTCTTGTCTGAGCTGTGGCCCCTTGTCCTGGCTGCAAGAACAACATTGCAGCTGCTGTGGGGAGCTAGAACCGTGCAGCCTTGTAGCTGCTCGTCTAAACTCCTCTCTTTTGGGGGACCTGCTACCCCAGCTCTCACTTTCTCCCACTCTGTCCTCTCTGGTCTGGGGCTCCAGTCTTGCGGCATATGTGCCTAGAATTCCCTCAGCCCCAGCTGCTTGGGGGAGGGGTCTGTCGGGCATTCCTGGCAAGACCTGAAGGGTAGGTGTCCTGGCTTTACCCCGGGGTGACAGGTGGGTCTCGAGAGCTCAGAATCCCTGGCATGTTATGGGAAGTGGGAAGAAGCAGCCATGAGGAGCTGACACGGGACCTATTCTTTCTTCAGGCTGGGTCCGGTATGCGGAGCGGGTGCTGGGGCATCCCGTCACTCCCCACCTCTGCACCGCCAAGTCTCCCCAGCAGATCATGGGCTCTCTGGTGAAGGATTACTTCGCCAGACGGCAGGTAAGCCGACGTCTTCCTGGAGGGCAGCACGCAGGCTTCCGTGTGGGGATGGTGGTGATGGGGAAGGAGGGCCGGGGGAGGTTCCCACCCAGCATGTCCAGGGTGGTCTCAGCCCCAGGCCAAGTGGAAGCACCACCCACCCTGCTGAGGGGGGCCCTGGGCCTCACCTCTGGAGAGGCTGGCACTGAGGAAGTCCCGTGCAGCCTCCACCCTGCTCTCTCCCCCAGACTGCAGGCGCCAGGGCGAGTAGGCATCCAGCTCCACTGGCTGCTTCTGTCCTCAAGACAGGAAAACTGCTCACCCAGCTCCTGAAGGCCCCACAAGTTCTCCTCTCCACGGCCCTCGGCTCCCCCAGGGTCCCCCCTTTGTGTAGCACCCTGTCTTCAGCTGGTCGCTCTGTTGTCCCTGCCCTTCTCCAGGCCCCCACTCAGACCCCCAGTGTGTGATCTGCGGCCACCTCCGGGAGCTCTGGCTGTGGCCAAGCCTGGGTTCTCCCGGAGCTCTCTGATGCCGCAGTGCTGCCCGCGCCGTGGCCCCCATCCTGGGGTCTGCTGTCCAGTCACGCAGCTCCCCATACTCCTTTGCAACCTGATTATAAGTCCCTCTAAGGCCAGGCACTGTGGGAACACGAGAGGACAGTGAAAGCAGGAATCTTCCAAACACCTGAAGCCAGCTTAAAAAAGCCACATGGGCTTTTGGCAACCTTGTTAATTTAGCAATAGGGAATGATTCCTTTTTACCTGGTTTAATCGTAAAATCACCACAGTTGGCAAATTATAAATGTGATGTCAGTGTGTGTTTCTGGGGGACAGAAAAGTGAACTACGGAGCTTTGTACTTTGCTCTTGCCCCACCCCACTGTTTGGAGGATCCAGGAGTTTCTCAGAACTAAATGCTTTAGGTCATCCCCGCAGCCCTGCTCAGGGACGGCCGGGCATGCTTCCAGGCAAGCAGTAACAAGGAGTGGGTGTCCCAAGTGAGGCCGTTCCACCCAGACCTTGCCACAGGGTCACTTGGCAACTGCCAGCTCCTGGCACTGCCACTGATTGCAGCTTAGCTGTGGGCACAGAGAGGAGCAGCGCAGGAAGGTGTCGCTTGGGAGGCTTCTGGAAAGTCTGTGGGTGAACTGGCCAGGCCTTCAGTAACAGTCCAGCAGTGGCTTATTCTCAACGTGTCTGATCACCTTACACATAGGTTCACTGGGAAACAGGCTCAGCTTTCTGTGCTTGTTCACGTGAGGCTCAAGGCTGCTGGGTCCTACAGATTCTTTTTTTTTTTTTTTTTTTTTTTTTTTTTTTTTTTATTGCAGTAACATTGGTTTATAACATTGCAAAAATTTCAGGTGTACATCATTGTACTTCTATTTCTGCATGGACTACATCATGTTCACCACCAAAATACTAATTACAACCCATCACCACACACATGTACCGAATTATCCCTTTCACCCTCCCCCCTCCCCCCTTCCCCTCTGGTAACCACCAGGTCCTACAGATTCTTTGGGTGAATCCATCTCCACACCTCACTCGGTCTGGAGTGAAGTGGTGCTGTGGGTGGACCTGATGCTGCTTCTCGGTGGAGTTGTGGGGCCAGGTTCAGAGTAGGAGCTCGGCCTGTGGGACCTGGAGCAGCCCTGGCACCCCAGAAAGCACTGGGGCAGAGGGCAGGGGCGTGCTTTCCCACAGGCATGTTCTGAGCACTAACGTTAAGCTGCCCTCCTCTTCTCCCTGGCCTGGAACACGAGTTTGCTCTTTCTCACAGAACCTGTCCCCAGACAAGATTTTCCATGTTATTGTGGCCCCTTGCTATGACAAGAAATTAGAGGCCCTTCGAGAAGATTTTCCTTCAGCTTTGCAGAGTTCCCGGGGTGCCGACTGCGTGTTGACCTCAGGTGAGAGGTGGGCAGGGCTGAGCACCGGAGGCCTCTGACTGGTCGCACTCTGAGGTCACCAGCAGGACCTCGGGAGGTGAAGCAGAGGGCAGCGTGGGAAAAGTCACACACCATGTGGAGGGTCTCCTCTGACCAGCCAGACTGTGAGGCTCCTTAGGCAGAGCAAAGTAGGAAACATTTGCTCTGGTGACATTGCCGGCAACCTCCACAGTAGCCCTGTCTGGGCTTGTGTGGAGAGCCTGCGGCAGGTCCTCTCTTGTTGGCGTGTGAACTGATTCCTGGAGTCCTGAGGGCCATTAAGAAGGGCGTTGCAGTCAGTTGAGGGGCAGCTTAAGTCTTTGTTGAGACCCAGGGGTGCGCTTTAAATGGGCTCTGAAAACAAGGTCCCACAGCGTTCAGGCCCAGTGCAGTTGAGGCAGAGCGGCTGGCTCTGGGCAGCCCTGAGGGCAGCGATTCCCTCTGTGGGTCCCCTGACCTGCAGCTCCAGTGCGTGGACGCCCGTGGAAAGGCCTCCACGGCACAGGCGCAGGGTCCTGGGGGACAGTGTGACAGGAGGGGTGGGGGGCAGAGAGGGCCCCAGCCACCTGACCCTCTGCCACCAAGCAACGGGACCCAGAGCCCACTGCTCACCTCAGACGGGGTGTTTTCCTAAGGACTGTGTTTCGTCTTGTTTTTCTGAGTGCAGAAATCAATTTTCACTCTGTTTCACTGATGTTCGGTCACCTCATGCACACCTGATGCCACGGGTTGGTTGAGTCACTTTCCTCTCAGGTTTTCTCAGGAACCCAGTGTAAGGGAGATATGGAAGAGGTGCTGACAGTCAGTCGATCTCAGGCAGATAACCAAACATCTTGTAAATGCAGCCAGTGGGTTTTGGTCATCCTATCCACTTGAGGTTATTATATACAGCAGCTTTCTGATTGGGAAACAGGAACATGGAGAGATTGCAAAAATCTCTCATTTCAAGGGAGGAAAGAGGAATTAGACTCTTTATATTTTGTTAGCATTTTTCATTTTATTAATGTTACTTCGCACTTGTGATGGGCTGCTGCTTTCTGTGAGAGGGAGAACTTCCAAGGTCACGTCACTTAGAATTTCCTTTGGGGAAGAAAATCATGTTCAGAAACCATTCTCAAGGAAGCGTTATGTCCCACTGGCGTGAACTGTGTGTATCCTTCATAGCACCTTACGCCTCCTATTTGTCTGTAGGTGAAATTGTCCAGATAATGGAGCAAAGTGATATCTCAGTGAAGGAAGCTGCCGTGGACACACTGTAAGTGGCTTTTGCAAGGAGGGGCATCTTGCGGGTGAGGCTGCCTGTGTGAGCTGTGCCAGGCATACATCCCAGGGCCTCTCTACTTTACGATGAGGCCACAAGCTGCACTGAGATGTGAGCATGGGGCAGCCTCTCATCTGGGGTGCCACTTCCTATGTCACCATAGCCCCATCCCAACCCTCAGCCATCTTCCCGACTGTTTTTTTTTTTTTTTGGTGAGATCAGCCCTGTGCTAACATCTGCCAATCCTCCTCTTTTTTTGCTGAGGAAGACTGGCCCTGGGCTAACATCCATGCCCATCTTCCTCCACTTTATGTGGGACGCCGCCACAGCATGGCTTGCCAAGCAGTGCATCGGTGCGTGCCTGGGATCTGAACTGGCGAACCCCGGGCTGCTGCAGCAGAGCGCAAGCACTTAACTGCTTGTGCCACCGGGCCGGCCCCTTCCCGACACCATTCACCAGGGCTGCGAGGAGTCGAGTTTCCAAGGTCTGATGTAGGGGCCACCCATTTATGCACTGGCATCCTCCCACTCGGCATTTCATCTGTTCCCAACATTCCGAGTTTGAACCTGCCCAAGGGCGGGTCACCTCCAGGGAAACAGTGGCTTCCTTGGGTCCCTTTGCACCAAGAGCTGCAGGCAAGGTTTCTGCCTTGGGTGGTGACCCTCACTGATGACCAGTGCTCCTGCTGCATCCAGTGCCCTGGGCACTGCACAGTGTACATGGGCCACTAGTGAGTGTTCCCAGGAGTGACCTCGGGACTGTGTGTGTGGCCCTTTTGTAGAAGGCCAGCTGAGGTTTACAGAATGAAGCAGCTCGAGTACCCATGGCTGGAGCCTCTGCTGGAGCCCTGGCTGACCAAGCATCCTTGTCCTGGCTGTGGCGCAGACCAGCAGGCTCCTGAGTGGCCCTCAGATTCCCAGTCTTGTCCCGAGTCATGAGGTTCTGAGGGACACGCCTGGTGCATGCGCAGTGGGAGAAAGGAGTGACTTGTGAGCAGTGCTGAGTATAACTCCACCTGCCGTCTTACACTAGGCCATAAAGGATATTTCATGTTGATCAGTAAAACTCAAAAATGAGGTTTTTGCCCAAAGTTCAAATATTTGTAAAGGATTTCATTGTTCATGTGGCAACCTTGGATCATAAAACTTTGGAAGTCCGATTTGACTCTTGCTGTCATTTTTCTCTGCCTGGTGAGGTTTGGAGACTGGAAAGAGGAGGAGATGAGGCGCCATGATGGAGCCAGCTCGGATGGGTACCTGGTGCACATCTTCAGACACGCGGCCAAGGAGCTGTTCAACGAGGACGTGGGGGAGGTCACCTACCGCACCCTAAGGTGCGCAGGACGGGGCAGCCCTGTCTGCTTGTGTGGTCAGTACTGCCTGTCAGAGCAGATGGCCCCAAGCTAGCCGTGTCTGTGTATGTGTGTGAGCGCGCGCGCACACGTGTGTGTGGAGGTGCGTCTTTGTGTGCATGTGTGTGTTGGGGGGAGGCCATCCTAATTTTAGAGTTTACACCAGTCAAGATTGAAAGTGGCTTAGTGGTTAAGTGCGCGCGCTCCGCTACTGTCGGCCTGGGTTCGAATCCCGGGCGTGCACTGACGCACCGCTTCTCTAGCCATGCTGAGACGGCGTCCCACATACAGCAACTAGAAGGATGTGCACCTATGACATACAACTATCTGCTGGGGCTTTGGGGAAAAAGAGGAGGATTGGCAATAGATGTTAGCTCAGAGCTGGTCTTCCTCAGCAAAAAGAGGAGGATTGGCATGGATGTTAGCTCAGGGCTGATCTTCCTCACAAAAAAAAAAAAAAGATTGAAAGGCCTCTTTTCTGTTTATTCACACACTTTTATTTTTGCTGACTTCCAAACTTAGATTAGAAAAATATCCTCCAGCCACAGAAGAAGGACTCTATAGATCAGATCCATTTTGTTCATTTTATAGGAACAAAGACTTCCAGGAGGTCACCCTTGAAAAGAACGGGGAGGTTCTGTTACGCTTTGCTGCTGCATATGGCTTTCGAAACATCCAGAACGTGATCCTGAAGCTGAAGAAGGGCAAGTCGCCATACCACTTTGTGGAGGTCCTCGCCTGTGCTGGGGGTGAGACACGGGGCTAGGCTGAGCAGACCCTTCCACAGCCCCTGTAGGAAACGGGCCCTTGTTGGCCACCCAAGCCTCACTCAGCTCCAACGGCTATGTGGGAGCGTGGACACTGCCCTGGTGGTTGTGACGTGACAGTCCCGTTTCTTTCCTCACACCCACATAGTAGAAAAGAGCAGGCAGTCACACGTCACCTTGGAAATCCCCTTGGGAGTGTGGTCCCAGAGAAGAGTCACTGCTTAGGCAGCACCAGGTGAGAGCCGGCTCGTGTGGCAGCTGGTACAGAGAGTACGCTTAAACCTGAGAGTTGAGGCACATGGGAACCAAGGCTGGCCTGGGTGGCTCAGACGGCCACCACCTCCTCCAGCCAGGTTCTGTCCCTGAGTGACAGGAGGGACCAAGTAAAAGATGGAGGCCAACGAGATGGGCTGGGGTGGGGGTCCCCCGGAAGGACTTGCTGGTGGAGTAGGTGTGGGCGTCAGGGAGGAAGGCAGCCCGTGGCCCCTGGTGGTCCATCCAGGCCCCCAGGTGGCGACAGAGCTGAATCAGAGAGGGGATCAGGGATGTGCCATTCCACTCAGGTGGAAATACCAGGTGGGCAATTCCAGGTGCAAGAGGAGCTTGAGGAGCCGAGGCTGCGGTGGTGGGAAGAGCATAGATGGAGAGGAGCCGCGGCCACCTCACCAGGGAGGTGGTGGAGAACCCATGAGCATTTGGGGAGGGCGGGTGCAGGGCGCTGAAGGGAGAGAGGCGAGTGCTGGCTTTAGGGGAACACACAGCCTCGGAGTCCTTGTGCCAGGGGCACAAACGGCAGAGCCCATGGCCTGAGCGGAGGAGTGGACTGGAGGTGAGACGGCCAAGCAGTCCAGGCAGGGCCTCCTGGGGGGGCATCTGCACCTGCGCACCAGTTGGGGTGGGGGCTGGGTGGGACTCACCTGTGCCCTCTGGTTAGAGTCGCTCCCCTGTGGGGGAGCCAAGGCCAGGGATCTGAGGAAAGGTAGACCATGGAGAGGCAGCTCACTGGGAGAGTGGGCTGAGTCCTCTGCTCAGCTGAGTGTCTCTGAGATGTGAGGTCAGAAGTGCAGCTGTTGGGCGCTGCCGACAGATGAATGGGGAAAGGTTTGGCCAGGGTGGACCTTTGCTCCAAATCACTTTAAATGAATTTTTATCATGTAATCATGACATCAACATGTCTGAGGGTAAGTAGCACCAATACCTAGGAGGCATATTCTTTATTCAAGCCATGGTATTTGGATGTATGGGGTCCTGGGTCCCCATCTCCCCTCCCCGCTGTAGCCCAGATGGAGGCCAGTGCACTAAGGCATTATGCAGACACCAGTGGTTTAGCTGCTTATTAATAATTTCTGTGCTCTCCTGGTTTTGATAAATTTTAAGAGAAATCTAGATTTGCATACATAGCCACCCAGTTCTAAAAGGTTGGCAAGTTATTTCAGTTTTAGGTAAAAACACTTTATGGGTGATGTAAATAGGTGAGAATAGGAAGCACCTGTGGCTGTGAGCCTGTGACTGGGGTTCTTGAGGCCTTGCGGGGACATGAGTGTCTAGGGCCCAGCTCCAGGCTCTGGCCACACAATGCCATGCACCGCTGTCATTCCTCTCCTGTTCCAGAACCATCTTCCCTTTAAGACAAAAGGAGAAAAAGAGTAAGCTCCCTGCGTGTCTTTCAGGATGCTTAAATGGCAGAGGCCAAGCCCAGACTGAGGATGGGCACGCCAACAAGGCCCTGCTGCGGCAGATGGAAGGCATCTACGCAGACATCCCCGTGCAGCCCCCGGAGACCAGCACCCGAGTGCAGGAGCTGTACCAGGAGTGGCTGGATGGGGCCGACTCCCCCAGGGTCCAGGAAGCCCTGCACACTGCGTACCAAGGCCCAGGGCACCCCCCTAACAGCCAAGACATCAAGTGGTAAAGGTCAAGAAGGCTGGGAGGCAGGTGCCATCAGCTGCCCAAGGAGGGAGGAGCTGCTGAGTGTGGGTATCAGAGACTTGATACCCACCTGAAGAAAACAGCTTGGCTTTTCTTCTGTTACTTTCGTTTTTCAGAATTCTCTGCTACCCCCATTTGTTGGCAGCTCCCTCATTCAGCTTGATGTGGTGCTATCCTTAAATACATGTGTGATTGGAATACTTTAACACAAGAGAACAATTTTCCCAATTTAAGTAGCCTTTTACCCTAAGACTGAAAAAATCCCAAAGAACAACAATGGAGCCAGACTACTGTCTTTTAGGATTAAAAAAATCCAAAAAGTGTCCTGTGAAGAGCTAAGACCCCAGAAGTTCTGATTTATGTGCCTCAGAGAGATTTGATGTGGAAATAAAGACAGGAGGCATGCAGGCTGCAGGTCGTGGGGACCGTACCAGCACAGTCTGCCTGCCTGGCTCTTATTTTTACCTACAGGTGTTATTCTTGAAAATGTTTTTGCCAGAACATGAATAACTTGCAACCTTTTGGAATCAAGGGGCTCATACACAAATCTGAATTTCCAGCTTTTCTTGAAAAAAATCTGTTCTGGCAACAGTGGGCCACATTCCTCACTGCTGCAGTGGCCAGAGTGCAGTAGCAGTCCCCTCCTGGGACCAGACCCTCTAACTGTGGGGCCCGGTGGGCACTGGCAACTTATGCCCCAAACTCGCACTTTGACATTGTCTTTAAGCTGAACTCACCTTGAGGTGGGGGAGGCCCAACAAGGGTGACAGGTAGTACAGACGAAGGATGGAGAATGGAGAGACAGGCTGCCCTGCTCAGGCCAGGCTGTGTGGTCAGTCCCTCCCTGGGTGGGGTCAGGCAGGTGAGGGCCCTTCCGACCCCAAAGGTGGGTGAGACAGCTTCCTGACGGCCCAGCCTCCCCCCAGCTCCTCCCTATGGTCCTTCCCTCATACAGTGGGCCTGGCTCCGTGACTCGGTTCCGTCAAGCCCTCTGGCTGCGTGATGGGACCCCTCATCCTGCTCATACTGCTCATGTGAGCTCGCCTTAAGGAAAGAAGAGAGAGCAGTTTGCCTACAAACAGTTAAAACAGGGCTGGCAGACAACCAGAAATCTGCAGAATCATGGAGCTCCCCATCAGGGCGCATCCTGTGAAATGAAGCATCTGTGAAGAGGCCTCGAGTGGGTTTTTCAAAGCACTTGGATTTTGTTACCATGAGTGATGATGCTCATCTTGAACCCCTCAGTGCTGTAAAGCCTTAGCATGTTAGGTTTCCTTCATTTTATTTTGTATCATATTGTACCTGTCTGGATTGATAACTGGATATGTTGTGTGAAATTGTGTAGTTTTTTGCTTTCAGTCTATATACAATTGGGTTTCCATTCTCTGCAGTAACTGATCATGGAATAAACAGTTGAAGAGTATATCTGAGTGTGGAATTCTGTGAACCAGATGCTGTTCTCCTCAGCCAGGGGCTGTTGTGTGCTCTGAGACTGGATCATCATTATAACTTGAGTCAGAGTGAGGGGGGCCCTGGTGGTCAGGCTGGTGACACGCGGAGAGAGTCTGCTAGTGAGCAGTGCTGGCCAAGCAAGCGGTGGAGGAGGACAGAGTAAGTCCAGATTCACGTCGCACCCGGCAGCTGTCTCTACAGGAATGCTGTTACCTGAGTTCCAGTGCTGCTAGCACCTCCAGTGGACCGTGAGCGTGTCCAGGTTTGTGTGCATGTTGGCCATCTTAGTGAATGGCTCTGCTCTCCATGCCTGTGCTTTGTACCATGTTGCAGCCCAGATTTCTCGATTCCATTTCCACCTGGCCTGAGCACCTGGGCCAGTTCCAGCCAGTGTAGACACTGGTCTGTCCTTCCCAGCTTTGCCAGAGTGAGGACTGCAGCTCATCCACTGTCCACACTGTCAGTTTGACACTGGCCTCGGGTGTTGGGCGAGGGCACTGCCTGTCTGCAGGCTCCTACATTATGCCACTGACTCGAGGATGTTCTCTGGCCTCACCTGCTGGCCCAAGGCTGAGCAACAGAGGCTTCTAGACACACCCTGCAGTGAGAAGACCTTCACACTTGCATCTAGGATACTTGAGTGGACTGCTGCCCAGGCATGCAGCTCACTTGCCCAAGGCCACTTGGCCACCAAACATGGGCTCCGTCTCCTCAGGCCCAACCTTGGTATTTACACTCCACTGCCTTCCACACACCCATTGGCTTCGTTCCCAGTCAGTAACAGCAGGCGTAGCACTGTCTAAAGCATGAACCCTCAACTCCAATGCCCAGGGAGGCAGAGGGCATGGTATTTTTGGACAGGCTGGACCCTGTACTTACTGAATAAGGAAAAGCCAAATGTTTTGAAAACAAGGAGGGCAGGTGCCAGGACTGAAGTCTTATTTTAAGGTTGAAATGCAAATTGTATATATACATACACATGCAGATACACATCTACTTACAAATTTGGGTCTTGCTCAGTAGGTGGGCAAATGACCTACAAAGTGTTGATGTCGATGAAAAGATCAGGCGCACCTGTGGGAAGCTGTGCTCTTGGGAGCTTCTCTACTGCAGGACCACCTCACAGGTGCCCGTGGCAAGTCCCGGACGGTGTTCTTGAGCAGGTTTGCAGTAAGATTCAACAATTTGCAGCACCTAAAGAAGAGTGCGTCCGTGGAGCACGGTTCAGTAATGGTATATCCAGATGGGGGATTCGCAGTGGTAAATCATGGACTCGCTTCTTACACTGACAGGGAAATCTCAGAACCATACATGTGATATAAGCCCCTTTGGGTCTTTTTTTTTTTTTTTTAAACACCTTTTGGTTTTTTTTAGGAAGATTGGCCCTGTGCTAACATCTGTTGCCAATCTTACTCTTTTTTCTCCCCAAAGCCCTAGTACATAGTTGTGTATCATAGTCATAGAGTTGTAGCTCTTCTATGTGGGACCCTGCCTCAGCATGGCTTGATGAGCGGTGAGTAGGTCCACACCCGGGATCCAAACCGGGGAACCCCGGGCCGCCAAGGTGGAACATGCGAACTTAACCGCTACACCGCCAGGCCAGGCCCCCTTTTGGTCTTTTTTTAAAGCCAAACTAGAGAGAAAAAATGGACGTTAAAAAGAACAGACGAGGAAATTCCAAACATGATTCCCTCTGGGGAGGGAGTGCTGCAGCACTGGGTCCTCATCTGAGGAGGTGGTGCCCAAGCTGGAGGAGACAGGGCAGACAAAAGGGCCACAGGCCCTGCCACAGGCCCTGCCACAGGCAGGGCAGGTTCTACTGAGACTTGAACTCCAATCGCTGGATTCAAAGTCCAGAGTGCTAACCATTACACCACAGAACTGCGTACCACTCAGTCCACCATGGGGCGACCCTTGGCCTGAGCGTGCAGGACACACACACACACACACACACACACACACACACCGCTCATCAAGAGGGCAAAGTCAGGGGACAACAGGGGCACACAGGTCCTACAGAGACTTGAACTCAGAGCACTGGATTCAGAGTCCAGAGTGCTGACCATTACACCATGGAACCCGCTGCTGCCGTGTGCCCTGATGAGAGCACTGACAGATAGGGACACAGACACGGATTGGAAGATCCACAGGCGGAGCCCTACCCACCCACCCCCAGGGACTCAAAACCAGAAAAAGTTAAGCTCATAGCAGAGGATGGTTTCAACCCATCAACCTCTGGGTTGTGAGCCCAGCACGCTCCTGCCGCACCACTCTGCTGCCCCTGGTGTCACCTGCCCAACTCTGAGGCAGGCCCAGCAGCCTCCACTGAGGAGGGGAGCTCTTGCAGGGGCCCAAAGGGAGTGCCCATTTACAAATAAAGTGGACTTTTGCTTTCCCTCCCTCAACTTCTTTCAGAGAGAAAGCTCTGGATTCATGTCCTTTTCTGCTGTTAAAAAGTAAAGAGGGCCGGCCCCGTGGCTTGGGGGTTAAGTGCGCGCGCTCCGATGCTGGTGGCCCGGGTTCAGATCCCGGGCGCGCACGGAGACACCACTTCTCCGTCCATCCTGAGGCCGAGTCCCACATACAGCAACTAGAAGGATGTGCAGCTATGACATACAACTATCTACTGGGGCTTTGGGGGGAAAAAATAAAAAATAAAAAAAAAAATCTTTAAAAAAAGTAAAGAACCACAAGCTTCGTAGCCCAGTGTCCATGTCCCTGGACAAGGGTGGCAGGTTCTGCACTGTGGTGGTGGTGGTTGGATTTTGGAAAAGAACAAAGATTTCTCCACATCATTTGAAAATGACTCCTAATTTGTGCAATTATGAGTAAACTATCCTTTTAATTCTGTTTTTTCTCTTGACCTACTTCTTCCCAGTCACCAAGGAAGCTGTTTCTTCAGAAAAAATTGCTTAAAATTAGTGTTAAGAAATTTTGCTGTTCAGCTTTATAATTTGAAGAAAAACATAAATAAAACCCTGCACTTTCAAAGAGGTAGAAACTGTTCCCCCAAGAACATTCTGGATATAAATCCTTTGGGAGAAAAATCTTTGAATTCATGTTGAACCTTTTCACGTAAAAAGTGTCCATGGAACTTGCCGCTGCAGATGAATAGGGTATCTCCTCTCTCAAGCCAACAGAAGCACCAGGAAAAGAAGCATAGATACTGAAACTTCTGGAGTCAAACTATGAGTATCAGCCAGGATACTCAAAGGACATGGCTGCAGGGAGTTTAATGAGCCATTTTTATGAACAGGGTTAAAAGAAGCCAACAGGGCAGTGAGCACTCCAACACTAGCCACAGCACTGTGTGGTCAGAATCTGGAGGCCTGGGAACAGTTCCTGGACCCTCAAGAGCTGAAGGTGATGGAGTGGGCACTGAACAGGAGCTGTGGCTTTCCTTAGTGTAGCATCAACCCACAGCCAGGCATAAGAGAGCTGAGGAATACCCCAGCCTTTTTCTCCTCCACCTCCAATCTCCTTGCCAGTGCCTCCCAGTGGCTGCAGTCACTCTGCTCTCTAGCTTCCTGTTGGTCTTAGAGAAGAGAAAGGTACAGGTGGCTTTGGAGGGCAAACAGAAGCCATTCAGACCTACTGAAGACGACTATAACCCCAGATGTATGGCCACAACTGCCAAGAGCATTGAAGGGAGGGTGAGAAAGAGGGAGGACCTGAAATGAAGGCCTGGGCCAAGCCAGCTAGCAGGGGCTTCTGCAGCATTAGTGACACATCCAGCAGGGCACAAGGGGTGGCCCCTGGCTCAGAACAGCAAGACAGACTGACAGTGGCCGTGGGGTGTGAGGCTTCCTGAAATGCACCCACAGGGCTGTACTGTGAGCCTGAATCTCCACCACAAGGTCTAAAGGATTGTTGCTGAGCCCGATAAGTCCAGGCAGACAGGGACAGTTAGAGGCAAAAACGTGGCGACCAGGAGAAGACAATGGAAACCCCTCTGAGCAGCACATCTCATCAATGCCCCAGTGCAGGGACTTGATAAAACCAGATTGGAGGATTGGTGTCAAAGAGCCTTGCTGATGAGGTGTGAAGATGGACTTCTTAAAACAGGCCCAGAATTTGAGAAGATTCACATTCCATGTGAAAGCTCATCAGAACGTCTCCACTGTGGGAAAGGCTCAATCAGGTGGACAAGGTTATCTACACATGTCCGTCAGACTCTTTCTCCAGCCACCCTAGTGATGCTTGCTTAAGCCCCAACCAAACTGGCTTGTGGGGACAGGTAAGGAGACTATGCCCAGGCTCAACAACATGGACTCCTTTTTTCCCCCAGAGGCTGCCCTGGCTATGACTCCTCCTTATGTTTTAATGGCCAACTGAATCCCAATACTAGTTGTGGGGAAGAGAGAGCAGCCAGCCACCTGATGGCAGGTGACTTCACTGATCCTTTCCCTGCA